CGCCGTCTGCGCCCGTTACCCCGTCGCCCTCCGCGACCTTAGAAGCCCCCGTCGCGTCAGCATCCACTAACGCGAACTCAGGGATACCCTGTGCACGCCGTACGTCGGCTCAGACACCCTCGCACCCATGTCTCTATGGACATGGTAATGGTTGAACTCGACCCTACCCCGGAAGGTAAGGCCATCATCAACTTTAAGAGGGTCTGTGGGCCCAGTGACTTAGTCATCGAGCCCCCGCGTAAATCAGGAGTTGTGGCACAGTGCCACAACTGTCAACATTTTGGCCACACGGCAAACAACTGCTTCGCTCACCCTAGGTGCGTCAAATGCACCGATGACCACGGCACAACCGAGTGCACGAGGCCTAAAGATTGCGCAGATCCACCGGACTGCGTAAACTGTCACGCTACCGGCCACCCGGCTAGTTATAGAGGCTGCGCCAAGGCCCCGAAAACTCCCGCGAGAAAATCTCCCGCGAAATCTACGTTGCCCAAACCCGCGCCCGTTAAATTCATTCCCGCGCCCTTACCCGTCATAAACGCCTGGGCGAAACCCCAGGTGGCCGCGCAGGTAACCACGCCGGTAATCACGGTCGCCTCACGACCGATCGCACAATCGCTGCCCGCCTGTCAAACGGCGCCGCGGCCGCAGGTGCAGCCAACTCCGTCGGTTTTCGCGGAAAATAAAGACGACCCATTCGCGCAAATCGCAAACATCTGCAGCCTATTAGACACGATCAATAGGCAGGAACTCGCCGTATTGTCCGCTAAAATAGCGGCCGCCACATCTGGCAACGAGCGCCTTAGGGCAATTTGCCAACACAAGACGCTTGTGGAAGCCCTCTGGGCTTTTACGAGCCAACCATAAAAGACAATAGTCCGCGCAATAAAACCGCGCTCCGCCGCGTCGTTAATTAGACCCATAAAAACACCTTAATGGGAAGTACAACCGCAGGTAGAACATAACCTCGGGCTCTGGTTGTTTCGTATTTCAACGCAAACGGCATAAAGGGTCAAAGGGACGAAATCGCGGAATTCCTTCGCGATTATAACGTAGATATTTTTCTAGTGCAAGAGACATTCTTGAAGCCTAGTGTACGCGATACCAGAATCGCAAATTACAACATTGTCCGCCACGACCGGTTAGCAAACCGTCTGGGAGGCACATTAATTTATTATAAACAGTCCTTGCACTGTTGCCCGCTTGACATTCCAGAGCTAAGTCAAATAGAGGCATCCGCGTGTAGGTTAGCGCTCACCGGCCACAGGCCGCTTGTACTAGTCTCAGCCTACCTCTCGGGGAATAGAACCTTACTTCAAAGCGACCTAGATACGCTACTTAACTTAGGCCCTTCCGTGATAATTGCAGTAGATCTAAACTGCAAACACGGCTCATGGGACACCAACAGCATCCCAAATAACAACGGAAAGCATCTTTTTAGCTTATCCGATAACCTAAACTTTAGCATAGTCGCTCCCGCGACTCCCACTAGGTATCCTACGGTGGACAACTACCAGCACGCATCACCGAGTGTCCTAGACATCATGTTATTCAGGGAGGTCTCGCTCGACATCGAGTCGATAGAGACAATCCATGAACTAGACTCAGATCACAGGCCCGTCCTGTGTAAACTGGGCCAGAACGCCAGCGCGGTCCCTCCGACCAAATCCGTAGTGGACTGGCATCATCTTGAGGTCAAACTCAAGGCCATGGACCCCCAGGACTTAGTAGACCTACCCGAGACGATAGCTACGTTCGATGACGCAAATCGAGCGATAGCGAGTCTCCGAGAAAGTATTACTTCCGCAATCACAGACTCAGAACGGACGGTGAAACTGTCGGGCGACCGACGGTTTAAATTTCCGCCCGACCTAAGACTGCTAATTAGACAGAAAAATGCAGCCAAACGCGCCTTCGACCGATACCGATCAGAATCGAAACGAACCCTACTTCGACGCCTTCAGCTAGAAGTCAAAGATCGTGTATCGGAACACCGACATACAACGTGGGACACTCTCCTAGAGGACATCGAGCCATCGCACACCGCTTACTGGCGGTTGGCCCGCAGTCTGAAAGCAGACCCCCGCTTCAGTAGCCCTAGATGACTCCGAAAAAGCCGAATGCCTTGCGGACAACCTAGAGGAGCAATGTACGCCATCGCGCGAACACACCGATACAGTCCACCTAACGGAGGTGGACCGCGTAATCGAGACTAGGGCTGCGCTTCCACCGGAAGGCGATCCTTTAAATTCAGTGACCCCCGAAGAGGTCCATGATATTATTAAAAATCTAAAACCGAAATCCGCCCCGGGCCCAGATAATATCAGTAACAAAATTCTCAAAGCTCTCCCTGGGCCGCTTATCTGTTTACTGGCGACCATTTTCAACACTCTACTCTCCAGTTGCTCCTTTCCGGACGACTGGAAATAAGCCACGGTTATCGGCATTCGCAAGCCGTATAAACCAGCCAACCAGCCCTCTAGCTATCGTCCCATCAGCCTCCTCAGTTACCTGGGGAAGCTCTACGAGCGGCTCTTATTAAACAGGCTCAAAGAGCACGTATTTTCCAACGGCCTTCTGCCGACGGAACAATTCGGCTTTCGAGCTAGACACTCTTGTCCGGACCAGTTATACTGCCTAACGGAGCACATCCTAAAAGGCCTAAACCACCCGAAACATATCAGTACAGGGGCTCTTTTCTTCGATGTCGCAAAGGCATTCGACAAGGTCTGGCACAACGGCTTACTTTACAAGCTATACACACTCAAAGTGCCAGATAGGCTCGTACACACCATCCGGGCCTTTTTGTTGAATCGCTCTTTTCGGTATCGAGTCGAGGGCACCCTCTCCACAAGCCGCCGCCTCACGGCCGGCGTACCACAAGGCTCCTGCCTCTCACCTTTGCTCATTACGCTCTACACGAGCGACATACCCAAAGACCGCCACGTCAATCTCGCGCTTTTCGCGGATGACACCACCGCTTTTTTATTCAGACCGCAACCTTAGAATACTAACCACTCGACTCCAAAGCGTCGCAGACCGCCTCGGCGATTGGTTCCGCAAATGGAGAATAGAAATAAATCCCGAAAAGAGTGTGGCGATTCACTTCACACGAAGTACTTACCCGTCACATCTTTATAATGGTCCTCGCCAATGCAGAAAGTTGGGGCAAATATCCCTTTATGGCCAACCGCTCCCCTGGGAAAAAAAGGTCAAATACTTCACTTTCGACTCGCATATGTCATTTACTATGCACATTAATAACGTTCGTAATAGAGCCGCGTTCGTCTCCGGCCGGCTACACAATTTAACTAACGCTAAAAGTAAAATGCCCTTAAGGCACAAATTATTATTATATAAGACCTGCTTACGACCTATTATGTCCTACGCATGCATGATCTTCGTCCACACGCACCCTACTCGCTTGTACAAGCTGCAAATAGTACAAAATAAGTTCATCCGCCGTGCAACCGGTGCGCAGTGGTATCAACGCAACGTCGATCTGCACAGCGATTGCAGACTCCCGACGATTCGCGAATATTTTAAAGACCTGACCAAACGGTTCTTCGATAGAGCCGAACATCATCCCAACCCGACACAAACGCGAACGTCAACAAGCGTCGCCCGCGAAACGTCCTCATCGACCCGGTCGAGGAAGGGGACTTAGATACGCCGGACCCACCGCCGGGGGGTCCCGCCGGATAACACTACACCCACAGCTAGTGTAACAACAAACACAATAGTTCGCCCTCGCCTCCGAGCACGGCGAGACCAACACAACGCGTACACAAGGTACACCCGCGTTCCAGGGCGGTTCTCACCACCCCCAGCCACCGATTAGCTAAAAACACAGTCGACGGCCATCGGGGTCTCGGTCCGCACCGCAACTTCGATGGCCCTTAGATGACATGTCGTAGTTAAACGCACGCATGAGCACATGCGTGGCCCTACCCACAGCGGAGGGCCCAAACCCGTGGGTTCTGGCTAGCCCACCGGTTCTGCGTCAGATGAAGTTTTAATAGTCTCGGGACTGAAAGTAAAAACATCAGTTAATACAAAATACAAGACAAGGTCCCTTCTACTTAATTTTCGAATGCACCGTATCTTCGGGGATCGTAAAGCGATGACTCAGTATTTCGACACCTCTCACAGTCAAATATTCAATTGATCATTTCGAGGTACGCGTTGATGCGTTGTCGTGGTGAAGGAGAATCTTGCTTCGAGGACTCTGCTGTCGTAATAAATCATGGACTAAATATTTTTCTCCAATACATAGAACAACGGTTAGGAAAACGAAGTGTGGGACGGCCTGCAGCACGATGGACTGACGACTTAAGAAAGGTGGCTGGCAGCGGATGGATGCGGGCTGCCCAGGACCGGGATAGTTGGCGCACTTTGGGGGAGGCTTACGTTCAGCAGTGGACGGCAATAGGCTGATATTGTATTGTATTGTACATAAAACAAACGTCCATAGCTTGCTTACTATCAAGCGAATAGCTTGCTCGATTCCCATCAATTAAATAAAAACGACAATATTAAAGAGTCCCTAATTGTGTAGCGTTGTGTAAAGTCAGTATGATGGCACGCGACTAAAATCTGATCACGAAAGGTGCCGTTAATAATTATCATAGTAGCCACCGATCGAAATATCAGCCGCCTGTGTCATTGTAAAAAAAATTATATTATTAACTACACATTTAAATGGACGATTTGGAGTGGTTCTTTTTAATTTTATTGTATTTAAAATTAATTCTCGTGCTCGATGTGGCGTTAGATTCAATATAAAGTACAATAAAATCAATCGTTAGTCACTTATATTCTTTAAGTAAATACATTTTCCTACTATACCTACTTTAATTTTCTTCCTCTTTTGATTATTACATATCGCTGAAAGCGAACATTATTTCTTTAACAGGCACTCGTTATTAGAAGATACTAGATCTGCTAAACGAGAGTTTATAATTTGACTTTAGACTTGGCGTATAAAAGTTACCAAAACTATGTTTCCACCTGATACGTGCAGAGGGTTGGTCAAGTGTGGTGAGGAGTTTTGCCTTCGCACCAGCATTCATGGCTTCAACCACATCGCGATACCGAAGAGGCATTGGACGGAAAGGTAATTCGAATCATTAATTTCTTTTGTAAATGTTTTTTTTTCTCCCTACAGCAAAAACTGTGCAGATCAAAAATATATATAAATTAATTATTTTATATATGTAGTATATATATGAAGGAAAAAAATAATAATAATAAAGACAATGACACGACTAATCCTGCTAAATACAGACCGATTACATGTTTACCTACAATTTACAAACTACTGACATCCATCATCTCACAAAAACTCACCACACACATTAACAAAAACAGAATAATATTGGAAGAACAGAAAGGTTGTCAAAAAGGATCGAGAGGCTGCAAAGAACAGCTTGTTATAGATACCGAGATTCACAATCAAGCCAAACAAAACCATAGAAATCTATATTACTCGTATATAGATTACCAGAAAGCGTTTGATAGCATACCACACTCATGGCTAATACACGTTCTCAAAATATACAAAATTGACCCTACACTAATACAGTTTCTATAATGTGCAATGAACAACTGGACTACTAAATTAAACATACAAACTGACAAAAGGACACTTAGTACAAACCAAATAAAAATTGCCCGAGGTATCTTTCAAGGTGACTCACTCAGCCTACTATGGTTTTGCCTAGCACTGAATCCTCTTTCCAGAATATTAAACAAAACAGACTACGGATATACAATTGACAGACAAAACAACATCAAATTGACTCACTTACTTTACATGGATGACATAAAACTCTACGCACCAAACCGAAAAAATTTTGAACAGTTACTTAGACATACCGAAAAATTTAGTGTAGACATTAAAATGACGTTTGGAACCGATAAATGTAAAATCAACAGTATTATTAAAGGACAACATAAAGAGACAGAACCATACAACCTAGAATTACAGAGCGGGTCTATTGACAAAATGGAAGCTAAAGAAACTTACAAATACTTGGGATACCTGCAAAGTACATCTATAAACCACACAGAAATAAAAAAGGCACTAAAAACTCAATACAAGCAAAGACTTAACAAAATACTGAAAACCCAACTATCAGCAAAAAACAAAACTAAAGCCCTTAACACATACGCCATCCCAATACTAACGTATTCTTTTGGAATTGTTAAATGGTCAGACACTGAACTAGAAGCTCTAAACACCACAACACGAACAACATGCAATAGACACAATATTCACCGCATACACTCATCAGTACAAAGATTCACTCTAAACAGAGAACTCGGAGGCCGCGGATTCATAGACATAAAGAACTTACACTATGCACAAAAAGACAACTTACGATCATATTTTCTCACAAAGTCTAGCGATAGCCCACTACACAAAGCAATTACTGACATGCCCAAACCTGGTACACCACTTCAGCTTAGTAACAGACAATATGATCCGGAACAAAAAATTCATACAGAAGAACAAAAAATTGAGAAGTGGAAGAGTAAAGCACTACATGGCAAGTACCCACACCAATTAGCACAAGATCACATAGATCGGAAGGCATCCTGTACATGGCTCACAAAAGGCAATATTTTTGGTGAAACAGAAGGTTTTCTTATAGCTATACAGGACCAAATTATCAAAACCCGAAACTATACTAAATATATCCTTAAAGAAACAATAGAAACTGACAAATGTAGATTATGCCACCAAGCCACTGAAACAATAGATCATATCACAGGAGGATGCGGTTTCCTTGCCCAAAAAGAATATATTCACCGCCACAACAACGTCGCCAAACACATACACCAACAGCTTGCACTAAAACACAAACTTCTGACAACTTACACCCCCTACTACCAATATAAACCAAAGAACGTACTGGAAAAGAGCACAACGAAACTCTACTGGGACCGAGACATAATAACTGACCGTACCATCCTCAGCAATAGACCCGACATTACACTCATCCAAAAATCTACTAAAACCACTTACCTTATAGACATCGCCGTTCCCAACACACAGAATTTTAAACAGAAACATACAGAAAAAATACAAAAATACATACCTTTAGCAGATGAAATTAAACAGATGTAGCACCAAGTGTAGTTGTAGTGGCACCAAGAAGTAGTCAAAATCATCCCCGTCATTATTTCAGCAACCGGTGTCATTCCAAAATCACTTAAAACAGCGCTTAAAATCTTAGACCTACATGATAACACTTATATACCCCTCCAAAAATCAATTGTTTTAGACACATGTTCCATAGTACGCCGATTCTTAAACCCAACTTCCCAACCACACACAGTACACAGCAGTTAAGATCACAATCATACAAACACACAGCAACATTCACAAACATAAAACAAAATGGTACCAGGATATTTGGCGTACGCCCGTATCCTGGGCCAAAGAAAAAACCGACACCGAGTCGAGAATAAATCTATGTAATATAATAATAATATTTATTTTATATATGCAATATATATCTATATGTTTATTTTTTATCTATAAACCCAACCAGACGAGAAAACAAAGGAATATCCCCAAAATAATAATATAAATATTACTGTTGCAACGCTATCAGCCCGGTTGAAGTACGCGGCGGTGACAGCCCAAAAATAAAATTTACAAAAAAAAATCATGTTAATCAAAAAAGAGTACGGACCACGAGTCTGTAGAGTTACTTTGTTAAAATTATAAAAAATGTTATTTTAGATTCGTGATTTTTTACACTTCGTATCTCCGTTGATATATTTGATCGAAATTCTGTTTAGTTGTTTTTCACTTATGAAGTAAAATGCCAACATAAAATAAAATTAATGTTTTCAGTAAAAAAAAATTAAAAATGTAAAGAATGCAGAAGTGTTGAAAATCTGTAATATTTTATGTACTCGTAGAACATGTTTGTTTTGAAGACGCAAACAGAAGCGATGACCTTAAAATAAGTTTGAAAGAAAATCACATTTCAAAAAGTCATTCTCAATTGCCAAAATCTTACGGAGTTTCATAATTAGGTTGATAAACAACGCTGTTGAAGATGATCCGTTAAACAATGCATGAATTTCGTTATAATTCCATGTTATATTATAATATGGCCGCGATATGGTGCGAAATGAAAATTGGCCATTTATCCAGTATAATTATCTATAAAACGGCAAAAAAATCATGACTGTTGTATGAGAACCCAACTTAAATATATTTTTATTCTGTTTTAGAGTAATTACTGTTGTTATAGCGACAACCGAAATACATCTTCTGTGAATATTTAAACTGTCTAACTATCACGGTTCATGAGATACAGCCTGGTGACAGATGGACAGACAGACAGACAGCCGAGTCTTAGTAATAGGGTTCGTTTTACCCTTTGGACGGAACCCTTAAAAACACGGGGCTACGGTAGTGGATTAAATAAAATAATAGCTTATATTTCCCCCACTGCTGGGCAGTACTATATGCGATCTCATTGCGTCAATCTACTCTACTTTAGTTATGGTCTCTTAAACATCGATTGAGTCGATTACACGCGCGTCGCTTAATATAAAGGAAATTGACAATTTTTTTTTATATGAGAATGTGGAAAGCGAGCCAGCGTTCACCTGATGTTAAGTGATGACCGCCTCCCACGGACATTTGTTAAATGGGCCCCGGCTACCTCACTCACATGGCGAAACGTAGAAGTATAACACTTCACGCGCCGGTCTTTTGTGAGACCGTGGCACGTCCCCGACCGAGGCTATATTTTTTTATGTGTAAATAAATGGACATCTGCTACACCTGAGTGTTTGCAGATGCGTTGAAAACCTTTTGAAAATTGAGCTCCGGCTTATTATATCCGATATGCTTCATCTCTCCAGGGTTCTGTGGCTATTTGTAACGGCAATCGCCACGTGGGGCGTCGTGGAGGTGTCCTTGGGGCAGTTCCAGCGCTACTCCGAGAACCCGACCGTGGTCACCCTGGAGAAGGATTTCCGTTCCTGGCGCTTCGCTTTGCCTGGTGTGACGATATGCGACCAGGTATCTCCTTTAGCCTCGACACGAATATTCATAAGCGCTTGTTAAACTGTCGGGCATTATTTGCTATTAGGCATATGTTTTACAAATCGAGTACTAACAACGTGTTTTAGTTTACTAATAAAAAATGTTAAACTATAGAAATTCAATTAAAACAAATTGTTTTCAAGCCGTCAGTCATACTATAATAATTCTAAATTAGCAATAAAAATATTGACGCTATTATTATTTCTTGACGTTATTTATTTAGATAAAATCTGCGAGTAGCCCATATCATAACTTGGAACAAATCCAGCAAAATGAAAAAACCCGGATGAGTCGTTTTAGAGTTAATCGCGCCAAATCTGTTATTACGGGTTTCATTGGTATTTCCAAACGTGAAAAACCTTTTAAAAAAACTAGATCCCGATTGCAGCACCACCTACCGGGAACATACGTTTGTACTTCTAATATAGCGCCACCTATTGGAAACTTACTCAATCCAGCCGATAAATTTATCTTATACTGCCCGGATGATTCGTTTTAGAGTTAATCGCGCCAAATCTGATATTACGGGTTTCATTGGTAATTCCAAACGTGAAAAACCTTTAAAAAAACCTAGATCCCCATTGCAGCACCACCTACCGGGAACATACGTTTGTACTCTTAACATAGCGCCACCTATTGGAAACTTACTCAATCCAACCGATAAATTTACCTTATACTGCCATCTGTTAGAATCTTGTGGAACTCACAGATAATTACAACTCTTTGTCATATAATAAAAAAATTACAATAAAAATATTGCAACTATAAATTGAGATATAAACAATCCTATGTCTTAAGTTGGATCAAATTGGGCACAGTGTGCAAAATTTGGTTAAAATTGGTTCAGTAGTTTAGCGAGTTCATCACGGACAAACGTGACACGAAATTTTTATATTTTTTAGCACTTTCGATACTTGTTTAACATAATAAATATCGGGTCAATTGACATACTATTATAAATAAGTGAAGCAAATCTTTATACCCCTTTTTACTTAAATTTCGCGTACGGAGGAGAATGAAATTTCCCACACTTACAGTTAGAAATACCCAAAAATTATTTTTACAAGTTCGTGAAGCTGGGAATTTTTCACTGACAGTTTTTCTATTTACTCAGGATAGAATCGATCCCTCCAAGCTGCCTGCCGCAATAAAAAGACACTGGCGGGTGGATCCAGCTGACGAGAGGTACGCGTACTATGGTCGTTTCGTGAACGCGGTCGCCAACTCGGACCTGTTCCACCTGGAGGCTTACCAGGAGTTCATGGAAGACGAGCAGTTGAATGTGGACCTGTATCAGCTGGCCGTCGAGGTTTTTTTTTTTATGTTGACATTTCACCACTACGTTACTGGGGCAATGGCTTAGGGCTTAAAGGATCAACTCCCTAACTGCTATTTGCGAGTGCTGACAAAAAATTGCTTACCAATTTGTAGTCGTTTCTACTTTTTCTTATATGTGAGAAAGTGGCAAACGACCTGGCTGTTCATCTGATGTTAAGTGATGCCCATTGATATTTGCAACACACGTGGGGTTCAAAATGCGATGCCATCTTTAAATAAAGTGGGCACCGGCTACCTCGATCACCAGACGAAACGCAGAAGTGTAACACTTGTAATTTACGCCGGTCTTCTGTGAGGACGCAGCAGCCTCGGCTATTGCACGAATGGGCAGGCCCGTCCGGGTAAGTACCACAACCACACAGAAGACCGGCGTAAAGTGGAAGTATAACAAATACTTTCGCGTTTCGTCTGGTGAGTGAGGTAGCCGGAGCCCAATTTTCAAAAGGTTGTCAACGCATCTGTAACCCTCAGGTGTGGCAGATGTCCATGTGCGACGGTATTCACTCACCATCATGTGAACCGTCTGCTCGTTTGGCAACTTTTCACATAAAAAAAAATAAATGTGGCGTACTTCGTACTGTGTTATATTTTAATCATTGTGAAAAAAATAATAAGTAAGAGAGTGAAGCAGTTTGCCAGCTTTCGTCTCTTCGTCGATTTGCGACGAGTGAATACACCATGTACTTACGACGAATGTAGGTAATCTTTAGTTGAAAAAAAAAAAAACTTTAGAGATAAAACTAGCAACTGCTTATATTATGAGTTGTGATAATTAGTGATGTGCCACAGTAGTCTGGACACATTAACAGTCATCCACTGTTACGAGTTTCAATTATATCACCATTTGACATCTACCGCCAACAGGGCGGTATCAATCATAACATAGTAGGCGATTAAAAATATCTTACGTAAGTACTATTCCACTGAAATACACAAAACTTTCCGCTTGGCTACTGTACTAATTAATCATCAGTATATAGGAATCCTGCTTTGCACTCGGAAGCTGTTATGAGTTTCGATTTATTACGAAAATTGATTATACTTAACCTATTACTAAGACGGACAGACATACCCCTGTCTGTCTGTCACCAAGCTGAGTTAGTCAAGCATAGTTAGACAGTTAAAATTTTAATACAAGATGTATTTCTGTTGCCGCTATAACAACATACTTAAAACCGGCCAAGTGCGAGTCGAACTCGCGTACGAAAGGTTCCGTACCATTATCTATAAGAACGGCAAAAAAATCATGTTTGTTGTATACCTTGTGACTTTTATCTGTTCCCAAAAATTAAAAACCAATTACACGGTTAACGATTTTCATCACCAGAAGAGGCTGTGAGTATGAAAACACGTTTGCGAGGTCACAGTGCATTTACCATAAAGGAGAATATTTTGAGAAATAATAAGTTCATTTTTGACCTTCAATAGTATTTTTTCCTATTCATTCCAGTAACTTTTAGTGCGCCCCTCGTATAAGTGAATGTGACAAATCGAGATAGCAGTTTATGGAATTGCAATCTAATCACACCAATTGGCGTAATTTGATGTAATGATTGCCTCGGTTTTCGCGCTGGTGTCATATCTACATCGTATCACTACATAGTATAAAACAACGACGTCCCGCTGTCTGTCTGTCCTACGTATGCTTAGATTTTAAAAACTACGCAACGGATCTTGATGCATTTTTTTTTACTAGATAGAGTGACTCAAGAGGAACGTTTATATGTATAATACGTTGCACCCGTGCGAAGCCGGGGCGGATCGCTTGTCTGTATACAATATCATTGGGTGCAGGTGATGCCCGATAACCAGGTCAAGACGACCTGGTCCGGTGAGATGGGCGCACAGTGGGTGCCCGTGATGACGGAAGCCGGTGCCTGCTTCGCCATCAACTCCGTCGCGTTAGCCGACGTCGCTATGTAAGATTAACTTTATTGTATCGTTTTTTTGATTTTACGCGAATATTGTACATATTAAATGAAACTAGTTTACGGATTTCATCGCGTTTTTTATTTTGATGTGAACTCCCGACGCTTCGAACGCTTTCCAGCGTTCATGGTCAGGGGACAGACAGTCTGTCTGTCAAATCAAAATAAAAAACGCGATGATATCCGTAAACTAGTTTCATTTAACTTCATTGGCTGATGTACTGTCATTGATAAACGTAACAATGATACTACCCGATATACTGAACAATACAAAGTCAAAGTCAACAGTAAACATTTCTTTATTCAACATAGGCTTACTTTAAGCTCTTATTGAACGTCAAAACCTACTACCGGTTCACTAAACTAGACCTGCAAGAGAAGAACCGGCAAGAAACTCTGCGGTCATGTTATCATTATTATAATTATTTTATAAATTATTAAAGTATACAAATAATTATTTAATTACAAAAATATTTAAGTTTAAAATTAGCAGAAGCCAGAGGACTTGCAATACGAAGACCTGATTAGCGTAATGGATAGTGGACCTGTCTCTCCTGTCTGTTCCGACGACATGGGGTGTCATGGTGGTTGATATATGTCCCACTGCTGGGCAAACGTCACTGTACAGAGGGTATTAGGGAATACAACATAGTCTAGAACGCGACCTCACTGCGGATTGGCTGACTTTTTTTTAGGAGAAGGCAAACGAGCTGACGGTTCACCTGATGTTAGGTGGTGACCGCTGCCAATTGCATAACCCAGGTTTGCAGACGCGTTGCCACTTTTTAATAAAGTGGGACTCACTGACCAGACGAAACGCAGAAGTACGACACTTACACTTCACGCCGATCTTCTTTTAGGTCGTGGTACTTACCCGGACGGACCTGCCAAAACGGTTGCGTGGCCCTTCGTTCACATACCGTCCTTATATAATTATAAAAATATTCATTCAGATATATTCTCAAAAGATATTTTTTTTTTGTGTAAGCAAAAGGAAATTAACAGCCAACACGACATTTTATCCTTCGCCGCTGTAAACGTGAAAATTCGGCCGTTAAAAATGTAAATTCACAATTTGATTGCTGCCGGCACCCGGATTTGACCTCGGATTGCTAGGCTAGTTGAAATAAATGTGCAACGCGTACACAAGGTAACCCGCGTTCCAGGGCGGTTCTCACCGCCCCCAGCCACCGATTAGCTAAAAACACAGTCGACGGCCATCGGGGTCCCGGTCTGCACCGCAACTTCGATGGCCCTTAGATGATATGTCGTAGTTAAACGCACGCATGAGCACATGCGCGGCCCTACCCACAGCGGAGGGCCCAAACCCGTGGGTTCTGGCTAGCCCACCAGTTCTGCGTCAGATGAAGCTTTAATAGTCTCGGGACTGAGCTATCGAGGCTCGTAAGTTGTACACAAAGTATTGGCCATTGATGGGCCATGTAAAACTTGCGAGCATTGGCCCTTATTCAGTTACGATTCTTTGCAGTTCTTCGTTAGTTAACGACACCGCAACGCTGCCACTGACCTGCAGATACTCCTCTCACAGCTGCTACGTAATGTTCGAGTCGTCGAAACCCGTGGACGTGAGTGCGATTTACTTCTGCTTTAAAAACCAATTTCTAATCAGCAGGTCTTAGATTCGTATTAGATACCAGTAAGCTTAATTCGACCAGATACAGTCGTGTTAAGACTATTGAGCTTACTTTCCTATAACATAAGCTAAAAGGTCCGGAGCGCCGAGAGTGTTTGTTCATTTATCTAATAATATTTACAATTTAAAGTTTCATAGTAAGTGCAGAGACAAGCATTAAAAAAACATAGGCAGTCTCATGGGGGCCATCGTCAGAAGTGAAAACATAAACCAATACCAAAATTTAAAAATTATTCCTTTTTTAAAAAAAGCTCATGGAAAGCGTTCGGTGACGAAGACGCGAGTTCCATAATTTTTGTTCACCTAAAAAGTGCTCAACGTGCCTAAAGAAGTTTTCACTTCAATTAATCCTAAAACTTATACAATCTCCTAAAAACTGTGTACTGCCCATACAGCAGTACATCCGCCAACTAGAGACGATCAATCTCTGAGTCATCAGCTCTAGATTCTTCTAGACTTTAGTTTTAGTATCTTAATTCTGCGGTAACAAGTTTTTCGACCGGTTTCAATATGCTATCTATCTACAGATTTGGTTACTAGCGATAGGTATTTAGGCGACTTTAGCGCCATAATACTTCCGCCAAAATTTTAGCTGTCTTTTATGTAAAAGGTGGCAGACGAGCAGTCTTTTCGCCTGATGTGATAACCGCCGCCCATTGACATTTGCAACACCCATAGGGTTGCCAGGTTGCCACCTTTTAATAAAGCCGGCCCGGGCTACCTCCCTCACCGAACGAGACGCAGAAGTGTACCCTTCCACTTCACACCGATCTTTTGTGAGGTCGTAGTATTTACCCCGACGGACCTGCCCATTCGTGCAAAAGCGAAAACTGTTGCGTGGCCCTACCACAGTTGATCTCCTAAAAAAATTAGCAGCGCTACATCCGCCAACTAGAGACAACAGTCTCTACATCATTAGCTCTAGATTATTCTAGACTTTAGTTTTTAACCGACTTCAAAAGGTGGAGTTTTTCAATTCGACTGTATTTTTTTGTTTGTTACCTCAGAACTTTTATTGAGTGAATCGATTTTGATGATTTTTTTTTATTTGAAAGCTCGTGCTTCCCATGTGGTCGCGTATTAATTTCATTGGTATTGGACCTTGGGTTCCGGAGATACTTAGGGAAATCAATTATAAAAGGTTGTCTGGAAGAGATCGCTTTTTAGCGATAAGACCGCCTTATTGTTACTACCTTATAAGTTATTTTTGTAACATTTCTCATATATGTTTATGGTGTTCAATAAAGCATATAATAATAAAATCAATACAAAGCGACATATTTGAAGCCTGTTTTGTTTTCAGTTAATAAAAGAATTGAATTTTTTTCTCTATGAGAAGGTGGCAGGAACAGAATTCGGATAGTATAACCAACACTATGTTTATACCATCTGAATTCCACGGTGACAACGTCGCCTACTCGTAGATATACATCCACTCGCCGTACGACGCGGTGGACATAACGGGCGAGGTGTCACGTGTGTTCCTCACTCTCAACCGGGCGACGGAGCTGAGCGTGATGGAGAGCCGCAGCGGGCGGGAGGTTCGCTCCCTCCGCCCGCACCGGCGCCGCTGCCTTTACAGCGACGAGCCCGCCATAGATGGCAGGAGGGTAATCCCCGCGAATATTAATCATCGCCATCATCGTTTCGGCCCGTTTCAGTCCACTGCCGAACATATGCCTCCCCCATAGGCTGCCACGAAGTACGATATTGAGCCACCTGCATCTATAGACTTCCCGCACATTTGCACATAGTCATCATGGCGGAATTGCTGGAGGACCTTGCTTAATGACCTCAACAGTGTTCTTCAACGGGTGGGCCTTGAGATGAACATGGTCAAAGCGAAGATCATGTCTCATGTCCATGTCACACCTATACCGGTATACTAGATAGGGTGACGAACTTTGCTTTCTAGTTTTTACGCTTCATAATGGAATGGACAGACTAATAACTGTAGCAGGGCCACGCAACGGCTTCGACTGTTCACGTATGGGTAGGTCCATCCACCTGGACGGGCCTAGATACCTATCTACCACGGCCTCAGAAGACAAGGGTGAAGTGGAAATGTTATACCTCTGCGTTTGATTGGCGATTGAGGGTGCCGGGGCCCACCGCAACTCTTCACAACTATATGAAGAGTTATGGAAGTTATAGCGTACCATTAAAAAAACACCTTTGAGAAAATAATATACACATGAGATAGCTTCAATTACAGTTAATTGTAATTTGATTTGCCAAGTACTCATCGATGAAGTAAAACATAGTTACGGAACCTGTATATTTATCTAAGTAATAACTAAAATTTTTATTTCTCAATCCAATTTACTACGTTTAGCGATTTTTTATACTCGTGAATATAGAATGTCACTTTATTGACTTCTTGATTTAACGCGAAAATTATCTATACATATTAAATGAAAGTAATTAACGGATTTTATCGTGTTTTTATTTTGATCCGTAAACTAGTTTCATTCAATATGTCACTTTATTTTATAAACAGAGACATTTTTCTTATTCAAGTCAGTTTCCAGGTATACAGCACGAACACATGCCGCCTTTCGTGCCGGAGTCGATTGGCGGTCCGCCTCTGCGGCTGCAGACCCTTCTACTACTTCTACGCAGGTGAGATCTGGGCAGAATTCATTGTATTCTTCTCGTCTCTTCGGTCTTCTTCCCATCTTGAAGTTTACCTCTTGTACTTACTTAGGGAATACTTTACAAAGGGAATGAATTGAAATGAATTGGAATCATTCATTTAAACAAAAATATAATAAAAAAAGCCCATTCTACAATTGTTAACGCGGCCACCAAGTAAAAAACATTTTGGCAATTACTTTTAATAGAATATGAGGATAAAAACCAGCCAAGTGCGAGTTGGACTCGCGCACGAAGGGATCCGTACCATCCTTACTAATATTATAAAGACGAAAGTTTGTATGTCTGGGTGGATGTTTGTTACTCTTTCACACGCAAATACTACTGAATGGATTTTAACGAAACTACAATAATATAGCTTATATATCAGAATAAGACAAAGGCTATAATTGATTTACAAATTCTTATGTTTCTGTCTTTCTGCCTAAATGTTACGCCTTCAGCCTATTCTATGCGGACGTAGTCGCGGGCAGCAGTAAGTTATCTATAAAAACGGCAAAAATACAGACAAACAGACGGACAGACGCATGGACGGACAGACAGACAGGCAGACAGACAGACAGACAGACAGACAGCGGAGTCTTAATAATTGTGAGTGACCCGTTTTACCCTTTGGGTACAGAACCCTAAAACGTGTTGAATATAAAAAGAACCGAATGAGATTTGATAAGGATTGGTTTTTAGGTCCCTTCCTTTCAAAGACTAACCACCCACCTATATTCACAGGACGGATAATTCCCAGACTAGTTTCAAGGGATTTTTCAAGGAAACTCAAAATTCGGGACTTCTCAAAATGTGTATTGCCTCAATGACGAACAAAGGTGAACAGACATGACATGCAATTTAACAAATGAGACCCTACAGTAATTAAAACTAATTACGCTATGCGTTTATTTGCTCATCGTAAACGAGCAGGCGTTGCGCTCGAACATGCCCCCAGACGTTGGAAGCAGTAGATGCGCTTTCAAACAGATGCAGAATCAACGGATAGTGGGCAAATCCTGTTGAAGGCTCTTCTTATGACACCAGCGGATGTTTTTATGTCTGCCACACGAACAATTCCATCTGATCCTGGATGGACGGCGACGATTCTCCCTAGTCTCCATTTAAGGGGAGGCAGATGGTCCTCCTTCACAACGACTAAGGAGCCCAACTTCAAAGCATCCTTGCAGGTATGCCACTTGGTTCTCTGCTGCAGCTCAGAAACAAACTCCTTGCTCCAACGAGCCCAAAAATGCTGGCGCAGCTGCTCGATCCTTTGGAACCGAGACAATGAAGAGGCAGAGAAGTCCTGTAGCTCTTGCTGCGGATGTGACGTAAGCGGCCGGCCCACAAGAAAATGACCCGGAGTTAATGGGGTGTTAATCTGCTGGATCGGAAGACAGCGGCGTCAGTGGACGTGAATTCAATATCGCTTCAATCTGGACCAACGTAGTGTTAGGCTCTTCAAAAGTTAAGTTACAATTTCCCAACACACGCTTAAGATGATATTTTGTCGACTTGACACCCGCTTCCCAGAGTCCGCCAAAGCGAGGATTATGCGGGAATGAAGTGAAATTTGATCCCGTCATTAGCTAATTGTTCGCTCAAAGAATTGCAATTAGACTTAAGAAAACGTGAAAGATCGTTACAAGCTCCAACGAAAGAGGTACCGTTATCGGAGTAGATGTCACTGGGTTTTCCCCGTCGCGAAATAAATCTATACAAAGCCAGTATATACTAGTTAAGTCACTAACCAACTCCAAGTGAATTGGTCGTGAAACACACAAAGATTACTATGTACACTTTTATTAGCCTACATCCGCGTCCTTGCCTGCTAGCAGCCATAATAGGACCAGCGTCATCCACACCAGTGTTTTCAAATGGATAACCACCTGGAAGAAGGCGCTGCTTTGGCAAATTACCCATCAAAGGTGTAACTGATCTACCCGACATGCGACAACAACGCACGCAATTACGATAACAACTCTTCACTAAGTTTCGGCCACCTATTGGCCAATACGATTCTCTTATCGAAGCTAACAATAGCTGAGGGCCTGCATGCATCAGCTTTATGTGTTCATGCTCAAATAGTAACTTTGTAAATTTGTGAGTGGACTGTAAAATAATAGGGTGCTTTTTATCAAATGAAAATGTAGAATTTACTAAGCGCCCTCCGACACGCATGATTTTATTTTCATCTAAGAAGACGTTAAATTTTATAAGGGCACTTTTATTAGGTAACTGCCGATTATTAACAAGTAACGTATATTCAGGAAAAGATTTAAGTTGACTCCTAGTTATAATAACATTTAATGCATTCTGCAATTCTGCTTGTGATAAAAATTTACTATGAGAAGCAACTTTTCTACACCTGTTAATAAACCTTAAAACAGTAGCTATACTACGGATAAGCCTCAAATAATTTTAAAACCGATTAGAATCTATAAATAAATCACAATGGTTAATATTATGACTAGTGCTCAATGAAATCTGTGCTCGAATTTCAGGTAGCTTATCGGACTCGTACACTCTGTGGTGAGAAGGCCAATGAGTCTGAACTTGTTTTAGAAAACTGGGACCACTCCACCATAAGTCCAATGATTGCAGAGTACTAATATCCACGCCACGAGATATTAGGTCGGCAGGGTTCTTGTCGGTTGGGATATGTCTCCAAGTGCAGTGGCCCGTCTTATCCAACACTTCAGCGACGCGATTGCGTACGAACGGCTGAAGCTTAGAAGGCAACATCTGCAGCCATCGACGGTGGAGTCAGTCCAGCAATATATATGAATAAATTTGACTCGCAGTGAGCTTACGACCTTCTCGCACAAGCGAGCTCCTACTACGGCGCCACACAGTTCCAGTCGTGGAATGGCGGTCGGCTTAATCGGTGCCACCCTACTCTTAGCAATTAACAGACGGATCATGTTCATTGAAACTACGCACATAGACGCACGCGCCATACGCACGCTCAGATGCGTATGTGAATATATGTAGCTCTAATATATTATGTGCATTACACACAAGACGTGGAACACGAAAATTATTAAGAAGGGGTAAATATTTCACAATTGCACTCCAGCTAGTGTTCAGTGCCGGGGTTAATGGCTCATCCCATGAGAGTTTATCTAACCACATCCGTTGTAAAAACATTTTCATGGTAATTACGCAAGGAGATAAAAGTCCTAAGGGATCGAAAATGCGTGCAATGGCGGAAAGAATATCACGCTTAGTTACAAAATCATTAGAAGGTAACGTTGAACTTGTAAAACCTAATTCGTCAGAACTAGCAAACCAGTCGAGTCCTAACAACTTGTTGGGTTGATTAGATCCCATATCTAAATCTAACGATGACTGAGAAGCTCCAGAGACTAATTCAGGTACATTGGACCTCCATTTTCTGAGTGGCATGCAAGCAGACGCTAGTGCGTTGGTGACCTCTTGGCGAATAAACATAACTTCATTTAAATCATCACCTCCAGTCAGCAGGTCATCAACGTAAAAGTCATGCTTGATGACGTCAGCAATCCTGTCTCTGCTACTTGAATACGACTTACCTACCGAACGCAAAGAGATTTGACTGTTATTTTGATAATCTATCCCTATTTGCTGTAAGCAACGTGCAGCAAGAAATGGTGCGCTAGCTGTACCATATGTGACGGTATTCAATTTATAAATCTTGACTGGATCGCGTTCACGAACGCGAACTTGTTTTTTTTTTTTTTTTTATGCGAAAAGTTGTCAAACGAGCAGACGGTTCACCTGATGTTAAGTGAATACCGCCGCCCATGGACATCTGCTACACTCGAGGGTTACAGATGCGTTGACAACCTTTTGAAAATTGGGCTCCGTTATTTGTCATACTTCCACTTTACGCCGGTCTTCTGTGAGGTCGTGGTACTTACCCGGACGGGCCTGCCCATTCGTGCAACAGCCGAGGCTGCTGCGTGGCCCTACCACCGTAAGACTTGTGCTGTCGAAACCGCAGAAGTATAGATATAAGATCGTCCTGCACCGTAGGACCTACCATCTGCACATAATTTAAGGACACTCCTGAAGAAGTAGCACAACTTGCGTTAAAAACTACTCGGAGTTTGGTAGTAGTGCTAAATTCACGCAGTACCCCGTGGTGTGGTATAAAATAACCACTGGAACTGTCACTATCTTTTTGTTCTGACATATGACCTAAAGTCTCAGACATGAAGTCCCGATATAACTTACCGAAATCAGGCTTGGACTTCAGTCTGCGTTCAAGAGAATGTAAACATTTAGAAGCCCTTTGGAACGATTCTCCTAAAATACAAGGACTTTGCTTTAAGGGAATACGAACACAAAAATGACCGTCATCTAAACGTATCGTATTCGCAATAAAGTGCTCCTCGCACAACTTTTCTTCCGGAAGATAATTTGAGGATTGTGGTTTAATTTCTTCCAAATTCCAAAATTTAGCTAAATCGGTGTAAATTTTATTAAAATCACCGTTGCTAAATGAATCATTATGTGAAAAATAACAAGATATATTACTCGATGCTAATTTACTATTATAGGTAACAGGGCCAGAAACGATCCAGCCTAACACCGTTTCACACAACACCGGCTTACCTATACCTAATCTAATTGTCTGCGAGCCAACCAAGTCCCAGAAGAGATCAGCACCAATTAAAATATCTACTTCCGAAGGTTTATAATATGTGGGGTCAGCTAAACAGAGATTTTTTGGGATATTGAGGTCCGAAATGTCGACTTCACGACAGGGCATAACAGTCGTTAATGATGGCAAAACAAAACAATGAATGTTATTAGAATAACTATTGTTCAATGACGTCATTTTTACCTGACACGTTTTGCCTACGACAGAACATACGTTGTTTATGCCATATACCGAACCATTTACCTGACTAGTATTTAAATTAAGCCGTTTACATAATCGTTCTGTTATAAAACTCGACGCGCTACCGCTATCAAGCATGGCTCGCACTATGTGTTCATGACCATTTCGATCAAATAACTTAATAAGAGCGGTAGACAATAACACACCGCGTTGTTTACGCTCGCCATAAGATGAGCTAAGACCCGCACACAAAGTTAAATTATTTGCGCTCGCATTAGTGCAAGCCACGGTGTCACTGGGCGATGACGTTAACACGGCATGAGACGAGCTACCATGTGATGCGTTTGTATTATTGTTACTACAAACTGCAGTGCCTTTGTTCTCTGAGGAATGGATCAATGTATTATGTCGGCGCTTACATAATTTGCATCCCGGCTTTTTACAACGGTTTGCAAAGTGACCCGAACGTAAACAGTTGAAGCAAACTTTATAATTAGGTAATAATTTGAAGTTGAAGCAAACTTTATAATTAGGTTTTAATTAATAAACGGGCGTCTATACTAAGTGCAAGGAATTTTAAACAACTGCTTAAAACGTGATCTTCTTTACAGTGAGGACACAACTTATTTAAATCAGTGACGGAATTAAAAACATTTTGTGATACAACCATAGATTTCATCCTATTTGAATTTGAACTATGTTTCAATAGACTATTGCTATTTCGAGTTAACTATTAATTCAGCGCGAGTGCGAATAAATTTAATGAATGCATCAAATGTTATTGTGATATCCTTGTCAATACGGCCTTTATGTTCCTCCCACTCGCGATAAATCACATGATCTAGTTTCCGAGTCACTATATATATTAATAAAGTGTCCCAATACTCGACGGGCTCGCCTAATGATTGCAAAGCACGTGAATTTTTATTAAGTTGGTCAATCAAACCCTTTAACGCAACGGATGACTCCTTTGATATAGCGTTTAGATTGAATAAGGATGATACATGATTATTTACCAACAACCTTTTATTATCGAAGCGATCACATATTAAGTTCCAAGTTATATCGTAATTGCTGGCGGAAAACTCAATCGAATGTATTACAACAGCAGCAGATCCTTCCAAAGACGCTCGCAAATAGTGAAATTTGTTAATTTGATCAAATCACCGTTATTATGAATGAGGCTAGTAAAAGTGTCACGAAACTCCAACCAATTGCTATAACACCCATTAAACTTTGGCAGTTGAATGGTAGACAACTTTACAGGTTTACGTTGGCTAGTACAAGTATGTTTATCACTACTTATCGACTCATTATCTTTGTTGTACTTGCATAACAACTCTTGTGACCTAGACAGTGCTTTGTAATATTGTGACTCAAACTCAGTCCGCTCAGAGAATTGAGCCTTAATATCCTCTACAAGACATTCTAACCGTACCTGTACCTCATCGTATTGCTCATACAAGTCTCAATTTTTCCCATCCGTAATTGCAATTCTTTGACCTCACAACTAGATAATTGCTTGTCACACACTGCATCGAGATAATTAATAAATGTAGTTAAACGGGCTTTGAAGCTCCCTCGCTTTTTGACTAGTTCTCTTTCTTCGGACATTCTGAGAAACGAGTGAAGGTCAACCTGAAATTTATTGAAATATCTTATTATAATTTGAGCAATGTTTATAAGCCAATAAGGTACCTATGTACTACTACTATTAATAATAACAATTTAACTAAGATGGTCACAAACTACTGTAAATATAATACAAGATGAAATTTGGTTCCGAGTTTTATTTACCTAAGCTATATTCCTCAATACATAAATTCCTAATTACTTAACGTCAGAATTTAAGAACAATACAAAACTATTTATTAAATACAATACTACAATGAATTCCTAAAAATATCTCACCACCAACATAACATTACAAATATGTACCTACACATAAATTAATATGATAAGAATAGTCAACTAAAATTCTGCTATACAATTATAAATGTAGTAAATAACTACTGTACTTTAGTACCACGTATAATCGTATTTTCAAAAAATTATCATTAAATAAATGATAATCCTAGAAACTATTCATAGGATACATAATTTAAACTAAACAAATAAATCCTCAAGTTAAATAGCACTAACCTTTACAATCCTTAATGCTATGATTAAATAATACCTGAGCGAGTGTTGGGTGATAATATATGTACTACCCGTCCGGTCTCCACAATTAATAAAAATCCAATTTCGCCGATTTTTGATAATTCTTCATATATTTTCCGCAATCCGGTTCGATTATGGACCAAAATGTTCGGTAATTTCAAGGGATTTTTCAAGGAAACTCAAAATTCGGGACTTCTCAAAATGTGTATTGCCTCAATGACGAACAAAGGTGAACAGACATGACATGCAATTTAACAAATGAGACCTTACAGTAATTAAAACTAATTACGCTATGCGTTTATTTGCTCATCGTAAACGAGCAGGCGTTGCGCTCGAACACTAGTAGTAGAAGTACGAGAATATTCCCCACTATCCTCTTCTCTTTGAAGAGGCTTACCCTGTGGTATATCTATGGTCTCTTATTGTGCAGAGGGGCGACAATGTGGCCCGGCTGGCATGCAGTGCCTGGCATCGTATGCCAACCAGTTGGCCAACTTTGGCGGCGTAAAGTGCCCATGCAGTCAGCAGTGCGTGGACGCGGTGTTTAGGGAGGTCTCCATCGTGGATCAGCTTTGGTGATTATAAATAAATAAATAAATAAATATTTTTAGGACACATTTTTACACAACGTTCTCTAGTCCCAAACTAAGCAACGCTTGTACTATGGGTACTAGATAACTGATAAACATGCTTAAACATACTCTTCTTTTTGTAAATAAATACACATTATACGTATATAAACACCCAGACACTAGAAAAACACTATGTTCACCACACAATATTTTTCCAGTAGTGGGAATCGAACCCACACCTCTGCCGCAACAGACTGGTAAACTACCCACCGCGCCAATCGGATCGTCCAGTAAGATTCGTCCAGATCATCGATTAAGTCTAAAGATAACCATTTACAAAGTTATAACGCACTTACCATCAGCTGGGATGGCAGTCAAGTACTGGCCAGTTCCGAATTTAAAAAAAAGTTATACTTCCTCAGACGCGTTTTGGAAAACAGATTTCAGTGTACTTTTGACGTTACGCTGTTACGGGCTCAAATGTAAACACGTAACTTATATGGCGGGCGACGAAAAATATAAATATTACAATAACATAATTATTTCAATATATATTACTATCCGTTATTTATATATTTATATATATTTAAAAATTATTATTTTTTGCTGAATATTTAATATTTAATACTATTTTGTAGTATTTATATTCGTCTGTGGTCGTCGTTCCCTTCGTTAATAATCCTTTGAATAAATAAAATGATGAAAATAACTCTAAAGAAAGACATATTACGTGCTTACATACGTATAAGTACTGTTTTTTTAAGCAATAAACTATATTATGTTGAATTCTCTAGTATCAATTCAGGTTTCTACTAAACTAAACGACAAAGACTTACGCCCGGTTTCCGAAACACGGATCACCGTAGATGTCATCTAATCAGCGGTCAAAAGCCATTTGACAGCTGATTAGTGTCAACTACTTCTTCTTATTTTTCCTTATTAGGTATTCGCCAGTGTCTAGTGTCAACTAGATGTCAACAAGATGTAATCTACGATGATCGGTGTTTCAGAAACCGGGCGTTCATAGACCAATATACTGCGGGCGTTAATCTATCCCTGCCGAGAAAATTTACACGATCTCCAAACATTTCGGGACCTGTCTGTTCGTTTGTGTGCAATTTGGAGGCCCCGAGGCTCGGGGCTTGCTTACCGTAAGTAAACAGTATAGCTTTGCCTCCGGTCCAGGGATCGAGGGCCGTTCCAGAACCGCGGTTCGGTGCGGTTCACAGTGCAGCCGCCGCGCACCAGATACACGAGGGAGATCGTCTTCCACTTCGAGGACTTGGTCGGTGAGTGCAGGGGCTGCGTACTAAAGTTACTCTTCAAGTATGCAAGGGGTACCTTGCTACATAAGCCATTTCCTTCACCGCTGTAAAGTAACAGCCTATAAATGTCCCGCTGCTGGGCAAAGGCCTAAACAGAGGGTATCAGGGCATAGTCCACCGCGCGGCCCCACTGCGGATTGGCGGACTTCACATATTTTCGAAATATTTAATTTTGTTTAGTTTTTCCTGCGCCGCTGAACACGCAATAATCCAGCACATAAAATTGACTATTTCGCAATAAAAAACTTGGTAACTTCGCCCCGTAACAGAGTAAAAGTGTCTTATTCGACTTTACTCCAAACTATGGTGGGAGAGAGACAAAAATCAGTTTGCAGTATCCCCCTTTCTTTCTTAATTTAAACCTGTTCAACTGGAGGATATAGGCCTCACCAGATACTGCCACAAAACACGATTCAGTTTTGTTATTAAATAGTAATAATAAATGTGCTGTGCAAGGGATCTGGAAAATAAAAAGTTGGAGATCTAAGTAGTAAAGTAATGCTTTTAATTTTCTTATTTTCCTACCAGTATCATTGCATCGAATGATACTCGTAGAAAAATAACTTTTTTTTAATATTTTTTTTGTCCGCCAATCCGCAGTGGGGCCGCGTGGTGGACTATGCCCTGATACCCTCTGTATAGACGCCTTTGCCCAGCAGTGGGACATGTATAGGCTGTTACTTTACTTTTATATTTTTTTATTAAAAAAAACTTATTTTCCTACCAGTATCCTTCGGCGGCGCAGCGGGTCTCTTCCTGGGTGCCAGCTTCATCAGCTTCGTGGAGATTGTCTATTTTATTCTCGAGAAATTGATCCAAAAACTTCAGCCCAACAACAATAAGGAACAAGTGATTATGGTGTGTATATCATGTGTATCTTGGTCTATGAACGCCCGGTTTCTGAATAATATCTAACTGTGGTAGGGTCAAGGTGGCAGTACTGTGTATTGATGTTTTGTAGTAAAATTAATAAAATAGCGGGCTTTCTTAGTGAAAATAACAAGTTTTAATAATTTTTTTTAATTAAAAGTAAGAGTTTTCATGGGTTATAACCCTTTTCATTTTCAGTTGACCAATCACAAAACAGCTCTAATATCCTACTGTCGTTGTATGGCACATGTCTATCTGATGCGTTAGCATGTCTATCATATCTGTGGTTATAACTTATATACTATTTTACTTATATATTATATTTATATTATTTTTAATTTATGTACCACTATTAACATTTCTCTATCGATTAAAATTTCTTTTCAAGCTTGAAAAACGAGACGTAATGTTAAAATTTTTTACCTAAAAAAATTTAAGTTAGTTTAATTGTTTGTTAGTTGTTTTTATAAAGATAAAATAAGATATTGATTTTAACTGTGGTAGGGCCACGCAACAGTCTTGCCTGTTACACGAATGGGCAAATATCGCGATCTCAAAGAAGACCGGCGTGAAGTGCAATTGTCATACTTCTGCGTATCATCTGGTGAGTGAGGTAGCCAGGGTCTATGTAAATTTAAAGTTGGCAACGCAACTGCAACCTTAAGGGAGTAGCATTCATTCATTCATTCATTCATTTCATATGTTAATGGGCGCCGGTTATCACTTAACATCAGGTGAACCGATAGCACGTTTGCCACCTGCTCATAAAAAAAAATCCAATCCTTTTGAAATCAATATTTTTTTGTTTTTATAATATAGACGCTTTGCCCGTGCGGTCTGTTCCATGAACATGAGCGCTGTTTAGAGTCCGAGCTTACCGCTTACGCTATTCGTGAAGCGCCTACCAAAATCATCGCTGCATCTCGCACAACCTAATTTGCATGTTGTTTCATTATGTACAACTTACAGAAGTTAGTAGGCACTTTATTTTTTTAAGATTCCTTGTGTTACCGCTCCTTGACTAAGCTCATTACAAGTCTTGCAAAGCTTCTGAAATATTATTTATTTACCTAATATACCTTGTCTATCTTCCAATCAGCGTTCGTAAAGTTATGTTATAATTTACCAATACACTACTAATTTCCAAGTTAATTCTAGTAAATAGTAGAAATCAATATTGATTAAGAATTTGTTTGTCTGTATGTGACGGATATTCTCGAAAGCCGTCAACGTCAAACCTTCTGCTTTATTATACCTTACCAGAAATTTCACTAATGAAATGCTGCTTCGTCCCTGTATAACAAACTTTATATATTTTATTCAATCATAGGTATATTTTTAGTTATAACTCTCAACACTTTGGAGAAACATCGGAAAAACGACTATACAACTGGACCCTTTAATATACATGATAATTTCTTATATTTACTCGATTACACATAATAAATGAAACCATTTTCCGGATTTATATCGTTTATTGTTATTTTTTGTTCCTGATATTTCGAACCCTTTTCAGTCTTCATGCTCACGGGACAAACAATCCGAAAATAATTATACTGCTACCAAATAAAAAATATTGAGTGATAACAACTTTGAAAATATGTGACTAATGCGTATTATACCTATATCTTTGATATATGTATATGTACAGAAAGTAATGAATACGAAACATTAATACTGCTGAATATAAATTTACGTTAACACTACTTCAATAGTTCTATAGACAGAGGATGCCTTTCCTGGGCGGTGAAACCTTAAGACAATTAAAATAAAAAAACCTTTTTAGATCAACCAAGGTGCGACACCGTTTGAAAGGGAACGCATTGAAGAGTTAGCACGGATCCTAGAGGGAAGGAGATTCTGAAGGATAAGCGGAGGGGAGCTGTTCTGCATTGAATGAGGATTTTTAACACTTTAGGGGCTTGTGGGTAGGCAGCATAGACTATGCATACATTTATTTAGCGGTAACATTTATTTATAATCTGTGCTGTGGAGTGTAGCGGTCAAGGTGACAATTATGGGCAAGTGAAAAGTGTTCAGCAGTAAGTAGTAATTAACAATTCCAAAACTCAATAGTAGTAGCAAAAGTATGTGATTATATACCTAGCAAAGTTGAACCGAAAATCTTAACGCCTTCTTTCTACATTGTTATTTAGCATTTGAAGCAAGGCTTGGCGCATCTATTGTTATATCCTTTCCAGCATACAAACTATTTCGAATATCGTTTGACAAAGATAATTCAAACGAGAAATGTCGCCATTGCTTTTTTTTTATAAATTTTAAAGTTTTTTTAGTGCTAATCTCTGCAATTAAGATTGAACATTAAAACATGTAGAATGTTCAAATGCTTTTCTATGCAGAGGATGTCTTGGCAGTCTATCTGCCAGTTCTTTCAAAATTTATTAAAATGCCAATCAAACTTGGTTTTACTTGAGATATATCTACTTTAGGATGAAGATTTGACAGCTTTTTAGTACTATTAAATTATCAGGCAGCCGAATGTGAATTTTTTTTCGTTAAAATGCACAAGAAGTTTTTGCATCTTTCCTTAACGTCTGCTAGATCTATTTTACTTATAATATCTTTAGCTAAACAATCAAAGTTGTACCCGAAACTCAGAGATGGAGTGTGCATTACATAAGGCTTGAAGTTGAAGTTTACCAATTCATCATCCTTTACTTTTTCTAATTGAGGTGGAACTGCAATCTTTTGAAGTAAGCTTTTGAACATAAGAAATAAGTCTTCCGATAACTTTCTTGGGTCTGCCTACATTACCACTTTGGAATAAAGTATTTAATTCGGATTTTAAAATATCACAATTGCTTTGTATGGCAATCGTGACATGGTATCTCACAACAAAGATGCTGCATAGTATTCTTTTTGATTAATGGAAAATACAACTTTAACTCGTCCCACTGTTGCAGAATAATTTGAATAGCCTCATATCTTGCGAGTACCGCTTATACCTATTTTTTTTTAATTTCGACTGTTGTTCATTGTTTCAAACAAATCCCTACAGTTTTCTAAACGTTTTGGGCTGTTTGAGAAATAATTAAGGACTTCTTGGACAAAATGCTCGAGCCTCATAAGCAATGCAGCACCTGCATTTGCATTATTGTTATATATTTCATTTATATATTTCAGCGCATAGATATCATTATTATCAAAACACTTAATTCACGCTTTAATATAGCAACAGACTGATGTTTACCGACCATGACGCTTTCACCATCAACGCCAATCCCATACATGTTCTCAATTTTAAAATTGTCTGCATCCAATTGTGACTTTATTGCATGATGTACGGATTTCGCATCACAATCAATTATTTTAATAATTCGACAAAAAGTTGTAACGACAAAACACAACATTATACACAGTGTCTTTCGGGTTGAAGTATTAACAATTTCATCTACGATTGTAGAATAAGGAGAATCTGCAACTTTTCTTATTAGGTCTTGCAGCATACATGGCCCGCGTACATTTTTGTAGTTCATAGTACATTTCGTACGATGAAGTTTTAATACTACCTAGGTATCCGACTGAGGGTCTAACTGCGGTAAAATACTAACATGTGATCGACTGTTTTTATTGAGCAATGTACAGAAATAAATGCGGCGATTTTTAATTCAGCAATCTTTGTTTTATCAGTAATAGATGGCTTTGTTTTATCAATAACTAGCGACCCACCCAATGCAATGTATTATACATATAAACCTTCCTCTTGAATCACTCTATCTAGTAAAAAAAAAGATCTATCGCTATGTATAATAGGGACAGACAGACAGCGGGATGACTTTGTTTTATACAATGTAGTGGAAGTGTATGGAATCTAATTTTTTTGGCAGATTTTTCTTTAAATAAAAAAATGCAGTATTTATGTTTTTTGGTTTTTGAGTAGTAAATTAAGCTTCTTCCATGACTCTTTAACGATATACGACAATATTTGCAGTATGCTAAATCTGTTTGTCCACAAGGATCAGAGATTTAAAACGAAATGCTATTCACTCAACAAAAAGCGCCTTTAAAATATTTCAGAATTGTTGATGAATTATCTTGATAAAAATGAACTTTTATTCCTAAATGAGTGTAGTACCTATGTGATTAATAGAAATGGTTTCAGATGCTGGCCAAAAAAGGTGTCCAACGCAGCAAGTAGAAACATTAATAAGCAAGATTTATGTAGATTTTTAGATATTCAAAAAAATGATCTTGGTATAATATTAAAGACGCAACAAATGCATGCTTATGAAACTGTACGATGGTAATAATAATGAGTACCTATTTTTTTAATAAGAAATAAAGTGTGATCATTTTTACTGTTTTATTTTATTGTTTCCTAAAAGGTTATTTTAGACAGTTATTCGCTTAATGTCGAATAATAGACACATTCGATATTCGATAAATAACAAAAAAAATCGATAAATCCCGCACACCGAATAATAGCGACTATTCGCGGCGTCTCTAGTTAAATATATATACAAAATAGTAAAAAAAAGGTAAGGTAACAGCCTATAAATGTCCCACTGCTGGGCAAAGGCCTCCTCTGTAAAGAGAGTATAAGTACATTTAATAAAATTGTACTTAAGTGCCAATAATCTTTTTATATTGTAAACTGACTTTTTTTAAAAAAGAGCAACTGTTGAGTTTCTTGCCGGTTTCTTCTCAACAGAAACTGCTTTCCGAACCGGTGGTAACTTACGAACGTGTTAATTTCTTGTAAAATTTTGACGTTTCATAAGAACGCGCAAGCGTCTATGTGAATAAAGATATTTTTATTATTATTATTATTATTATTATAAATTGTTAATATCTTCACCATTCAATTCATATATTTCACAGTCCACCACGCGACCGCACTGCGGATTGGAGGACTTTAATTATTATTTCGAAAATATGCAGGTTTCCTCACGATGTTTTCCTCCACCGCCGAGCACGTGATAATTCAGCACTAAAAATTAACAGCTGGCACCTGGGATCTTGCTAAAACTGGCACCGGGGATCGAACTCAGGTTGCTCAAGCATATTGAATTAAAGGCGAGCGCCCGGAAACTGAGCTATCACGGCTCAGTGTACAAAACAGTGTTTTTTTTATTAAATAATACATATATAATATGTATACGTATCAGCGATCTCGGAGCTGGTTTTATATTGGCGCCTCAGTGATATCGCTGCAAAGTCAGTGTAAGGTTGAAGGTCAACAAAACGGCGCGCCGTAAACAGTATTTCGATTGAGGAATGTTCGTCTTAAATATTCAAGTTTGCATAAGCGAGTCGTTTTTCGAGTGATGTTGGCGAAGCGTTACCTTTTAGTGCTCGCAGGTGAGTCGCGATATCTTTGGTGCAATCCATCGAGTGCGTAATAACAGCTCGAAATGTGTTTTCGTGAACACGCGTTTATGACTATGACTTTAGTTAGAATTTTTTTATACGTATAAAGGATGTACAAAAAAAAACCATGATTTCGTTTCATATTATCTTTATCACGATCCATTCATTTTATTGTTATTCATGCTGGGATCAATTTTGTATGTTAGGTTATATGGAACGAAAAGAAGTATTATTATTCATATATTCATGTGTACAAACGTGTTTTATTTGTATTGTTTATTTTAAGTATTCAAATCTATGTAGAGAAATAAATAGATTTTCAAAGGTGGGCCAATAATAATTGTTAATTTTTTCATCACTCCATCATCGTATCATTGCTAGCATCGTAGCTAATGGTTTCGTCGGGGGTCGTGGGTTCGATTCCCGGGACAAGTATTTGTGTGATCCACAGGGTTACACATAATGGGTTGACGTCAGGCAGGCGGCTGGTCGTGGAAAGCCAAAACCGCTTACAACATGATTCATAATTATATTGTGGGAACCCTACATTGGTGGGATTTTTTTTAATTTATTTAATCCAGTAATAAAGTACAATAACATAAATTATTCTCTGCCAAACTGTGATGCAGTTTGTCGGCAGCAGTTCTCGTAAATAGTAACATCGATGTACTTTAACCTTACTAATAGAAAAGATGGATACGGGCAGGAGGACAGTGATGACCAGTTCTTGTAACCGCATATGAAATGTATTGTGTGATTATTATACATTTCTTTTAAATTGTATGTATACTTTAATGACCTTCAACGCTTTTCAGTTACTTTCTTTGGCACTATAGATGCATCCGCCTTTTATGGGCACGAATATGCCAGGTATGTGGATTTCATATTCCCCTGATATGTTTATTCATTTGCAATACTTTGTGTTTTGCTCAAGCCTACCTTTTATGGCGAGTGGGACATCGCAAATAGAATCATTTGTAGATGAAACTTCTTTACTGTTTAAGTTGATTAGGTAAAGTAAAACGTTTATGTATACCGTTCATTGCAATTTATATCCAACTGGTTTGCGGTCAGTAAGTAACTACGGCTACTGCGTCACGGAGTCATCATTTCGAATTGGTTCGTAGTGAATATACTCTTAAACCGATTAAAATCTTCATCCCCATAAAAAGTCAAACACTTTATTCCCGGAAGTCCTACTGAATACGAGATGCAATAAAGAAAATTTAAATTGAGTGGAGTAGAATAAAAAACTTTTTGTATGTCCAAAACTGTTGATAGCCAAAGGCAGGTAACAGAACCAAATATGATGTCACTTTGCAATTTAATATTCTTACAGTGACCTGGGAACCAACCGGTCGTTGGTTCGGCTGAAACGGGACGAAGAGAGCTGCAGGTCAGTTGTTTTCTTTATTTAGACTAATAAAAATCGACCAAGTGCCAGTCTTACTCGCGCAAGAAGGGTTCCGTACCATTATATTTTATTTACTTTATTTATTTATTAAGGCTTACCAACTAAATACATACAGAACATTGAAATTTAAATATGTTTAACTTAATACTAAAGTCGTAAACAATATATGTACATGTTTAAATTACAGGTAAACACAACACTTACAAAACAAACTTGAAATATAGAATAGGAACCTAACTAAAAAAAAAAAAATCTTTTATCTCTGAGGAAAAAAAAACTAAATTAGGAAAATTAGAAAAATTGGGAAATTAAATTAAATTAAATTATCTAATATTAAATTATCTATATAAATAGCAAAAAATCATGTCTATTGTATGGGAGCCCAACTTAAATATTTTTTATTTTGTTTTTTATTTGTTGTTATAGCGGCAACAGATATAAATAATCTGTTAAAATTTCAACTATCTAACTGTCACGGCCCATGAGATACAGCCTGGTGACAGACGGACAGACAGACAGAAGGACAGTGGAGTCTTAGTAATACGGTCCCGTTTTACCCTTTGAGTACGAATCCCTAAAAACAACGGCCGATATTGAATACCTTGACATAAACATGCCCTCATTTATAAAAACGCATGTTCTTCCATCTTTGGACCTTTCGTCAAAACTTTTCAGTCCCGAAATATGATTTTTTATGAGACAAGGTGGCAAACAGTCAGGTGTTTCACATGAGGGACCTAACTGCCATGATTTCCACAACCCATGAGCAAATTTTAAACATAATATGAGTTCTTGTTCACCTCACTCACCAGACGAAACACAAAAGCATTGATAAGTCTACTTCACGCTTTTATTTATTTTTTTATTTATTGTACACAGAACACAACGTATAAAAAAAATTAAAAATGCAATGTAAGCTCAACTCAATGCATGAGTTGCCAGCTAAACTGGTGAGAAAAATATTTCGAAATTAGCTGGAAATGTGTTCGGCGCACACAGATGTCTCTGTATCATTCTCCTATGTTTAACATTCTTCTGTTAGGTTGTACTATCGGTCGATCCATACTCACGGATCAGCAAAAACTACTTCCTGGGCCGTAAAATAAGTCTGTAGCATAGAAAAATTGTGAGCCGTCACGGGACGCCCGGCAGATGTGAAACATCGACATTATTTTGTAAAATTAATATGCAGAAAAGAACAGATTGTGATAGGAACTAAATATGTCATAATGATAAAATAATATATTTCGATTTTTTTTACAGACAACGATGACTATTTATTGAATAAACATTTATTTTCATTAAATACAAAAATTTACGAATTTATATCAAATCGTGACTACTTAATTTGTTTAATCAGTGACTTCGGTAATAGTACACACAATTAATTAAAGTTAATTAAATTAATTAATATTAAATTATTAACAATTAATTTAAATTTGAGTAATTAATCGTACACACTACTGCATATAGATTGTATATATATACATACCATCATATAGCGTGGCGACGCGTCGCCACGGCATGCGTCCCCACGGCGCTATAGATGTTTCACATCAAAAATTTATTTCTGTAATAAGTAAGGTTTGGCGGGAACAGTGTGGATAAAAACAAAGAGAGGTTTTCAAGCTACCTTACGATATGGTCTATCTATTTGACTTTGTATCTAGAGCGGTTACGTATGTACTATTAACAATCTTCATCCACCACACCCGATCCGAGAGTGCCCTCTGTCTCTACCTCTATCTTTTATAGCGGTAGAGATAACTCAGCACTTTATATAAACGCTGAGAAATCGTGGTCATGGTCTATTATTCTTTAAGTGGTAGCAGTCTCGTCTAAGGCTGCCGATGACCTTACTGTTATACCACTGTTGAACCAAACAATTATTTTTATTCCCGTTTCGCCGTTGATAGAATACGTGAGAGTTTTATTTTGCAGTTACAACGAGTATGAATGCAGTGACGGTTTGTGCGTTCGCGCCCAGGCGGACTGTAACGGGAATTTTGAGTGCGCGGATGGCAGCGACGAGACCTTCGCTCTATGCAGGACAAGGAGGTAATTAAACGTGAAAATAGAAGAACATGTTTTTGCTTGGTACAAAAGTAAATAACACAAACACAAATAACTAACCGACAGACAAAGATACTTTTCACCCTGTAGTAAAGAAATATTAGAAAAATAGAATATATTTTTTTAAACTGGCTGACACTGATTCGCTTATTTATTTTAAGTTCACTTCATCTTGTTTGCACTTTATTATTAATACATAATATAACATAGCTCAGTGTCCGAGAACTCTCCTTTAATTCAATTTACTCGAGCAACCTGAGTTCGATCCCCGGGCACCAATGAAATTATTAATTTTAAATGCCGACTTACCACGTGCTCGGCGGTGAAGGAAAACATTGTGAGGAAACCAGCATGTTTTCGTAATAATAAGAAAAGAAAAATGTTTCGAAAATATGTGATGTCCGCCAATCCGCGGTGAGGTCGCGTGGTGGGCCCTGATACCTTATTTACAGAGGAGGCCTTTGCCCGGCAGTGGGACATTTATAGGCTATTACTTTACAACTTACATGATAGCTCAGTGTCCGGGCGCTTGCTTTAAATTCCCCAAATAAATCGAAACTGTAATTTTAAATGCTGACTTATCACCTGCTCGGCTATGAATGAAAACATTGCGAAAAAGTTTCGAAAAACGAGTTAATATGCTCCTAGTATATGTGAAGTATGCCATTACTCAGTGGTCCCGACTAATACCCTCATACGGAGGAGGCTTTTGCTCAGCAGTGGGACATACATAGGCCGTTACTGTACTCTACTTTTCAACCGATTTAATAATTTTTTTTATGTTTGTTACCTTCAGAACTTTCGATGGAATAAACCTAATTCGATGTTTCTTTTTTATTTGAACCAACCAGGACCCATGTGGCCCCGTAATAATTTCACTGGTATTGGATCTTGGGCTCCGGAGATGCGTAGGGAACTCCTGAAAATCAATTATAAAACGAATACAGGGCGAGATGTTTCAAGTCGGTTTTGTTTTTAGTTAATAAAAGAATTGAACGGTTTCTCTATGAGATGGTGGCAGGCAGTTGGATTATTGTCCTGCATAATATGTATATACACGCATAGACGCATAGACAGCTGTTACACATGTTGGGTTGCAGAAGCGTTGCCAATATTTTAATGAAGTCAGATCCCATTAGCTCACTCAGGCAGACGAAATGCAAATGTATATATAATGTATATCACGCTGGTCGCACATTAGCTCTATAATTTTGAGTCTACTTGTTCCTCACTCATCACTGAATGGTGTCTATCGAAAATACCCAATACTAGTGTACTAACTGTGGTAGGGCCTCGCAATAGTGTCCGCTGTTGCACGAATGGGCTCGTCCGTCCGGGTAAGAACCACGACTTCACAGAAGACCGGCGTAAAGTAGAAGTGTTACACTTCTGCGTTTCGTCTGGTGAGTGAGGTAGCCGGGGCCCACTTTATTCAAAGGTGGCAACGCTTCTGCAGCCCTACGGGTGTTGCAAATGTCCATGGGCGGCGGTTATCACTTAGCATCAGGTGAGCCGCGAGCTCGTTCGCCACTTTGCCACATAAAAAAAAGTTATAACACCCAAGAGCAATCCATTACAGCTGCAACAAGGCTCAGTTCAGGTGCAACTACGGCGCGTGCATTGACAAGGGTGACGTTTGCAACGGACGGCGGGACTGTGTGGACAATTCCGACGAGCTGGGTTCCAAGTGCACCGGCGAGGAATGGATAGTTGGGTATAGAGGCGTAGATCTTGTTATTGTAACGTTTTTTTAATGCATGTTCTTATATGAAACGACGCCAAAACATCTGAAAGTCCAACAATACAGCAGGCGTGTCATGCATGACTCTCATGGCATAATATAAAATAAGAAGCAGCGCAAATGTCGCCCTCGAATTGGTAAATGAAATGACGAATGTACAAACCGCTTCATACTGAACTCGTTGAATGGTCAACCTAATCTTTAAACTGCTTATTAAGTGGTAGTTTGATTTTAAATTTCAATGGGTGAAGTTTGCAGCTGAGTGGGAGTCTTAATGTGAAATAATTGGACACCCATGAGTGGCGCTAATCGACAATAAATTCAATTCAAAATAACTTTATTCAAATAGACACTTTCGCCTTCTTATGAAACGTTAACTTTTACATACCAATTGACATGTAAGTTCGTAACTAAGTTACTTAGGGTTTTTTTTTTTTTTTTTATGCGAAAAGTTGTCAAACGAGCAGACGGTTCACCTAATGTTAAGTGAATACCGCCGCCCATGGACATCTGCTACACTCGAGGGTTACAGATGCGTTGACAACCTTTTGAAAATTGGGCTCCGGCTACCCCACTCACCAGACGAAACGCGAAAGTATTTGTCATACTTCCACTTTACGCCGGTCTTCTGTGAGGTCGTGGTACTTACCCGGACGGGCCTGCCCATTCGTGCAACAGCCGAGGCTGCTGCGTGGCCCTACCACCGTACAGCAACTTCAACTTTTAAGGGGGTAAATCCCATTTACCTGAGTATTTGATGCGGGTATTCCACGAGGCTGTGGCACATCCCCGGACGAGGCGTCCGTTTATGCAACATCAGAAGCTGCTGCGTGGTTTAACATTAGTAAGACAGTTTCTTACGAAACGTGACACAAGTCGTTCGGAACAAAGGACGATACGCGACTAAAAGATATTCGAGAACAGAAAAAGAATAGGTTTCTATTCTTAACTGTAAGCCGTCAAAATGGCTGAAACTATGTCACCGACGGGTTCACTTACTGCAAAGTAAGTATGATGGACCTAATGTCAAATGCCTATCGCTAGAAACCAAATCTATCTGTAGATAGGATATTGGGACCGTTTGAAAGAAAACATAGACATGGTGAGAATAGGAGCAGGGAGTACTCATAATTTGTTTAGTTTAACAAGTGACTACGTACGCAGCGGGCAGTTCAAGTGTCGCAGTGGTCAGCTCATACCGGAGAAGGGCCGTTGCGACGGCGTGGCGGACTGCAAGGACGGGTCAGATGAGAGCGTCGCGGCGTGCGTGGGACTGGTCTGCCAGCCGGAGCAGTTTCAGTGCGGGTACGGCGGATGCGTGGAGGGCGCGGCGAAGTGCAACGGCGTAAGTGGCCTGGAATCCAACTGAGAGCTTCCTGGAAGCCTTCTGTGATCTTTGATTCTTTTTGAAAAATCACTTTTTTTATGTGAAAAGTTGTCAGGCGAGCAGACGGCTCACCTGATGTTGCTTGCCAGTTCCAGATGCGTTGACAACATTGTGAAAATTGAGCTCCTCACTCACCAGACGAAACGCGAAAGTATTATAGTTCCACTTTACGCCGGTGTTCTGTGAGATCGTGGTACTTACCCGGATGAGCCTGCCCATTCGTGCAACAGCCGAGGCCGCTGCGTGGCCCTACCACCGTGAACTATGTCCAACTGTGTCACTATTTCGCATCGGTTCTCGATGCAGATTACAGTCTCGCAAAGATGTTAGGACTGATTCTTTCTTTTTCTTTTCTGATATTTGATTTTTTTTTTTGGACAGCGGCTATTACTTAACATCATGTGAACCGCCAGCTCGATTGCCATCTTCTTATATAAACAAGCGAGTCCCAAAATATGAGAAATTGGTACGAAATTAAAATCGACGTTGGACGGGTAGAATGATTTTAGGCCAGCACTAAATTTCGCTTGACGTGTCTTTGCAGACGGCAGAATGTCGAGACGGTACGGACGAACTGTTGGAGGTCTGCGGCAAGATCACCCTGGTTCAGACCAGCGATCTAAATAACAGCACCACGGAGGTCAAAGTTATCAAGTAAGTCTCACGCTTTTCTAGTAACTAACTTTTGAAGAAATTAATCATAACAAACTATTATATATTTGCATCTGATATGTCAAATCGAGATATTAGAGTGCCAACTCACAGACCTACTCAATATTATCTATATTCAAGTAGTATTTTGGAGTGAATATGTCATATGTAAACTTGGTAATGAATAAATAAAGGAAAAAATATGATTCATTTGATTTAAATGATACAATAAAATAAAAAAACAGAAAATAATACTTATTTCTTACCGTTAACCTTTTAAAAACCAGGTATGCACCAATATTAATCAGATGGACAAATTGACAAATTAACGATAATATTTTTGCAAATCTGAGAGCAAATATATGTTACATACACCTACGTAGTATACGTTTCCTTTACGCTACTTTTTATTAATAAAAAAGTGTATTCATTCATTCATTCATACTCAGATAAAAAAAAAATAAAAAAAAACAAAATTCATCCACATAAGCAACATAGGTAAATTTCGTCTATAGATAGTTATTTTTTTTTAATCTACCACCGTTTCGTAATGAGGTTCCTCTAACAGAGAAGAAACAGACGGAAGAAACTCCGCAAGTATCCTCCTTTTCGTAATTTTTATTCATAAAAAAATTAAAATATACAAATGTGTTTTTTTCTTTCTTTTAGAAATAGCTTGGGAGCGATCACTCATTCTCAGGGGTTATTGTCATTAATGCATTCATTTATATTATAATAACCCGTTTTAACCGACTTGAAAAAAGGAGGATGTGTCTAAATACGACCGTATATATTTTTATTTTTTTTACGTGTGTTCGGGGATAACTTCGTCATTTATGAACCGATTTTGATGATTCTTTTTTTGTTGGAAAGGAAACCTAAATCTGATGATGGCATCCCAGAGAAATCGAGGGCAATCCACAAACGTTATAGGCGTTGACAATGTTTTATTAGTTTCCTGTTTAAGGGCGGTTTTTTTTTGTTGAAAATTATATATAATTATAAAGTCTATCTTTAATAACTTTTCTTGATAAGCAGGCTTTGCGCATTTACTGGGATCTTGTTGTAGAAGCGTATACACCGCCCCGAACGAGTTACTTACTCTATGGAGTCTATTAACTGGCGCAATGATGGTAGAATAATGGGAGATATAAACTCGTCTTTTGCAAAGTAACTCTGGACGTACGCGTAACGTATGCGTAAAGTAACTCTGGACGTATGCGTAAAGTAACTCTGGACGTATACGTCGGCAGGTGCGCGCTACCTCAGCAGCCAGAGAACGGCGTCTACCGGATAGTGAGCGAGACCAACCTAAACGACGCGGACTACGTGTACCTGGAGTACGCTTGCTACCCTGGCTTCAAGTTGGTGGGCGAAGTGAAGGTGCTGTGCTGGAGGGGCGCGTGGCCTGAGCTACCCCACTGCGTCCGTAAGTCACCAACTGAACCGTCTCTAGTTTTACACCCGGTTTCTAAAACGACGAAAATATCATTCTAGTCAGTTCAAAAAGTTTAACCATCCTTTTGGCAAGCCAAATGAAATTTGAAAAGGCATTTGACAGCTGATTAGTTAACATCTACGATGTTCAGTGTTTTAGAAACTGGGCGTTAATTTGTTATATATGAACATCATAGTTGGCGGTTCACCTGATGGTAAGTGGTAACCGCCGCCCTTGGACATTTGCAACGCACGTAGGGTTGCCACATTACAATGAAGTGGGCCTACCTCATCCACCAGACAAAACACAGAAGCATAATAGTTCTACTTCACGCCGGTCTTCTGTGAAGTTGTGGTACATCCCCAGACGGACCTGCCCATTCGTGCATCATTTATACAGCGTGTCGTTACAACCGCAATTATAAATAAACACACGTTTAACGCTACTTGCCAAAAATCATAAAAAAATATAAAACGTTAAAAAAATATATCTTTCAAACAAACTGATTAAATAAAAATGAAACAAAATTTGTAACACCTATACAACTACAACTGACTGATTCATACATTCAGATACTTTTTCATTCGTTGCCAAAACGTCGCATTACAAGTCTCTCCTTCTAACAGTATGTTTTATCTCTTTTAAATTCATTAAACCCATTCATATGCTTTGTGACCTTAACAAATGAACTCTACGTTACAGTTTCATACGTAAGGGTGTTCTAAAAATGTTTAAAGACAAAAGTGTAATACAATTTCTAAAATTTATCCTCTATATGTGTGTTCATTTACTGTCGCGATTGTAACGGCACGCTGTATATACATTTGTCTTACCTTATTAGTACACCCATCACACTCACGCACACACTTTTGACAAGCCTCCCGGGTCCAAAAATGTTTCCGGAATGGCACCCACTACTTGGACGGGCCCGTCGCGTCCAATAGAGTATTCAATAGAGAACTCACATCAGAGACCTGTCCGCTGGCTCGACACGACAGCGTCGAGTACCAGTGCACGGACGAGGACGCGGATGTGTTGAGGAGCTGCGGCCCCGAGGAGCCAGAGGGCGCCATCGCGAGGCCCAAATGCAAGCAGCACTACTATTCGCCGGTCGAGCTGCCCTACATGCGGTGCAGCGGAGGCGCCTGGAGCTCGGGCCCCATTTGCGCTCCGGGTAAGAAAATGTACCGTTTAGAGCCTCTAGGCTTCTTTCAGATAAGACAATTATACCGGTGTAAAAAAATTAACCCGACTTCGAACAGGAACCTAAAAAGACATTGTGAATACCTTCTCTCCTTCTTTTTTGAAGTCGGTTAAAAATAATCAAATAAATAAACAAAAAGTAGCTCGCTGAGTTCAGTGGCTTTCTTTTCCGAACCGGCGGTGGTTTTATTTTGACTATCAATATGTGATTGTAATGCTCCTGTTAATAATTCATGTTGAATAAAGGTATTTGAATTTGAAGACATACAGAAGATGGTTCATCTCGGCAACACGAATGACTTGCGTAGAAAATCGCGTCAATGCTCTCAAGGGGGCTGCTGGCTGTCTTTCCATTTATTTGTTTATTTAAACAGGCTTACCAACTAAATACATAAAAAAAACAATTATTATTTTTTTAATTGACAACTAAATACATAAAAAAAAACAATAATTGTTTTTTTATGTATTTAGTTGTCAATTGTCAATCCCCACAACTGTAGTATTGTGTGATGAACATAGTGTTTTTCTAGTGTCTGGGCGTTTATCATTACATAGGATAAAACAAAGTCGTCCCATTGTCTGTCTGTCCCTATATATGCTAAGATCATTAAAACTAGGCAACAGATTTTGATGTGGTTTTCTTTAATTGATAGAGTGATGCGAGAGGAAGGTTTATATGTATAATTCATGCATAATATACTAGAGAAACACTGGTAATTTTAGAGGTTCCTAATGCGATGTCGAAAATAAACATTTAGCATTGCACCCGTGTGTAACTGGGGTGGGTCGCTAGTATATGTATCTACAATAGAAAAGTATGTTTAATTATCTAGTACCCATAGCACAAGCGTTGCTTAGTTTGGGACTAGAGAACTTTGTGGGATGATGTGTCCTAAATTTTTATTTACTTTAGAAGACCGGCGTGAGTTTGAAATGTTATATTATCACAATTGTCTGGTAAAATGCCAACCGTTTTTGCATCAGAATGTGGCACATTGACGGTGAAACTTACGCCGCTGGTGCTGGGCGGAGAGGTGGCGCGGTTCGGTGACGTTCCCTGGCACATTGGTATATACCGAAAGGAGGACTCCTCGGACCAATACCAACAGATATGTGGCGGATCCTTGATCAGTAACACCGTGGTGCTGTCGGGTAAGTTTCTTGATTTCAATCTTCCTTATATGGTTTTTATGGTTCCGTTCTCAAAGAGTAAAACGGGACCCTTTAAATAATGCTGTCTGTCTATCTGTCCGTCAGTCCGGCTGCATCTCATGAACCGTGATAGTGAGACAGTTGAAATTTGCACAGATGACGTATTTCGGTTGTCGCTATAACAACAAATACTAAAAACAGAAAAAAAAAATAACTGGGGCTACCATACAACAGAAAAGATTTATTTGCCGTTTTTATACATACGGTACGGAACGCTTCGTGCGCGATTCCGACTCGCACTTGGACGATTTGTTGAAGAGAGTTGCGACAAGCAGCAAAAGAGTACAAAAATTGTCGTTCAGTAATTGCTTTTTAAAAATAACTGAAAGGGATAAGGCACTCTCATAACTTATATGACAGTTATTAAATCATTTTCAAAGAGTAAGCTATGTGTAACGTATACAATATCGCAAGTTTGGTCAGGATTTATCAAATATTTTACACAATTTTTATAAATGGTATAAAATTTCATTATCGTCATCATCATTATTCAACCTATTTGAGTCAACTGATAAATGCAGGATCAACTCTCACACTAAAATATATAAATATAAAAGTACTAGCTGATCCGGCAAAAGTTGTTTTGCGGAATTTCATAAAATTCTCAGCTGACCTCTACTCAGCGAAAGAAATATTCCTACCAAACAAGTCTCTACGCCTTATGGTTCCAGAGATATCGTGATGAGTCAATTATCGGTGGAAATCTCTTATATATAATAAGAGATAATTTACTCATTATATATAGCCACTCATTCACACCCAATCAAAACACTATTTATCTCCATTTACATGCTGATACAAAACGTTGACTTTTAGGTATAGTTATATATGTATAATATGGTCTTTTTATTTGGTTTACATTTAATTTTTTTTTTTTATGAGTTGTACATTATATGATCAGCTATGGAAGAGCGAAGTCACCTGTCACAGGCATTTTATGCTTACTAGGTGACTTCGATCACTGAATATGATAAATGTAAACAAATATTAACGTAATAAACATTATTATATATTATTATATTTTATAGATAGATTAGTTTCGTCTGGTGAGTGAGCATCGCATCAGCGCATCTGCAGCCCTACGAGCGTTGCAAATGTCCATGGGCGACGTATATCACTTAACAGCTGAACACCTGCAGCGCGATCGCCACCATCTCACATTAAAAAAAAATATTTTTTCTAACTCTCGTGCAGCCGCCCACTGCTTCTGGGACGAGCGGTACAGGCGGCTGGAGGACGTGGCCCGCTTCGCGCTGGCCGCCGGGAAGCTGTACAGGGCGTGGTACAACCCGAAGGACGAGCACTACGCGCAGAAGTCCAACGTGAGGGCGCAGACCAGTGGAACTATATATATATACTCCGAACGACTGCGTGGAAAAACGCCCGGTTTCTGAAACACCGATCATCGTAGAAGTCAACTAATCAGCTGTCACGTGACTTTTCAAATGTCATTTGAGTTGCTAGAAGGATGGTTAAACTCTTTAAATTGATCATTTTGATCATTAAGGAGATCATTATGGTAAAATCAGAGAGTTTAACCATCCTTTTGGCAAGTCAAATGACATTTGAAAAGCCATTTGACAGTTGATTAGTTAACTTCTACGGTAATCAGCGTTAATGTTATTGGCTTAGTAGCGCGGACAAACTATGAAAAACTTCTCAACCGTCCCGTGGATTAAAATCAAAACTAAATTCGAGAAAACCCGTAAAATAAGCTTTATTTAACAATTTCCCCGTCAATTCTGGTTGTGGTGGTTCCGTTGTTTTCCCATTAGTGGTACAACTGCGGTAGGGCCACGCAACAGTGTTCACTGTTGCACGAATGGGCAGGTCCGTCCGGGTTAGTACCACGACCACACACGAGATCGGCGTAAAGTACAGGTGTTACACTTCTGCGTTTCGTCTGGTGAGTGAGGTAGCCGGGTCCCACATTATTTAAAGGTGGCACATTTGCAACTCTACGGGTGTTAACACTTAACATTAACACTTAACATCAGGTGAACCGCCAGCACGTTTCCCACTTAAAATAATGCTTTATTCAACAATTTCCCCTTTAATTCTGTTTGTGGTGGTACAACAAATACAATCGGCTGAAAGTCGCGAAAATTTTTATGCCTCTTTTGGCGACAGGTCAGCAAGATCGTGGTGCCAAGACTCTACCGGGGTCTCGAGCTGGACTACCACCACGACATCGCAGCGGTGATAGCATCGCAACCGTTCCAATACAAGCTGTACGTGCGGCCGGTGTGCCTCGACTTTAGGGCGGACTTCTGCGCCGAGCAACTGAAGGACGGGAGCTACGGAAAGGTACTTAAGTAAAGTAGAGTAACAGCCTATACATATCCCACTGATGGGCAAAGGCCTCCTCTATTACAGAGGCTCTTTTATCAGGGCATGGTCCGCCACGCGGCCCCACTGCGGATTGGCGGACTTCACGTATCTTCGAAATATTTTTTTTGTTATTTTGAAAATATGCAGGTTTCCTCAGGATGTTTTCCTTCACCGCTCAGCACGTGATGAAGTTAGTCGGCACTTAAATTTAACAATTGCATTGGACCATTGGTGCAGGCACCGGGGTCGAACTCAGGTTGTTCGAGTATATTGAATTGGAGGCCCGGACACTGATCTTGTATCTTGTATTAACTGATGTTTTTGCTTTCAGTCCCGAGACTATTAAAGCTTCATCTGACGCAGAACCGGTGGGCTAGCCAGAACCCACGGGTTCGGGCCCTACGCTGTGGGTAGGGCCACGCATGTGCTCATGCGTGCGTTTAAGTATGGTGGCCAGTATGGTATAAGGGTCATCGAAGTCGCGGTTCGGACCGAAAACCCGATGGCCGTCGACTGTGAGAACCGCCCTGGAACGCGGGTGTACCTTGTGTACGCGTTGTGTTTTGGTCTCGCCGTGCTCGGAGGCGAGGGCGAACTAGTGTGTTTGTTGTTGTAGTGTTATCCGGCGGGACCCCCAGCGGTGGGTCTGGCGTATCTAAGTCCCCTTCCTCGAACGGGCCGATGAGAACGTTTCGCGGGCGACGCTTGTAGATGTTCGCGTTTGTGTCGGGTTGGTAATTTGCTGCGCTTACCACCAGAGGGTTGGGGTGAAGTTCGGCTCTGTCGAAGAACCGTTTGGTTCTTCGACAGAGCCGACCATTTGCAACTTGTACAAGCGAGTAGGGTGCGTGTGGGCGAAGGTCATGCATGCGTAGGACGTAATAGGTCGAACGCAAGTCTTATATAATAATAATTTGTGTCTTAAGGGCATTTTACTTTTAGCGTTAGTTAAATTGTGTAGCCGACCGGAGACGAACGCGGCTTTATTGCGAACGTTATTAATGTGCATAGTAAATGACATACGTGAGTCGAAAGTGACTCCTACGTATTTGACCTTTTTCTCCCAGGGGAGCGGTTGGCCATAAAGAGATATTTGCCCTAACTTTCTTCATTGACGAGGGCCATTATAAAGATGTGACGGGTAAGTACTTCGTGTGAAGTGAATCGCCATAATCTTTTCGGGATTTATTTCTATTCTCCATTTGCGGAACCAATCGCCGAGGCGGTCGGAGGGCTTTGGAGTCGAGTGGTTAGTTGTCTAAGGTTGCGGTCTGAATAAAAGAGCGCCGTGTCATCCGCGAAAAGCTCGAGATTGACATGGGGGTCTTTAGGTATATCGCTCGTGTAGAGCGTAAAGAGCAAAGGTGAGAGGCAAGAGCCTCGAGCCAGGCGGCGGCTTGTGGAGAGGGTGCCTTCAACTCGATATCGAAAAGAGCGGTTCGACAGGAAGGCCCGGATGGTGTGTACGAGCCTATCTGGCACTTTGAGTGTGTACAGCTTGTAAAGTAAGCCGTTGTGCCAGACCTTGTCGAATGGTTTTGCGACATCGAAGAAAAGAGCCCATGTACTAATATGTTTAGGGTGATTTAGGCCTTTTAGGATGTGCTCCGTTAGACGGTATAATTGATCGGGACAAGAGTGTCTAGCTCGAAAGCCGAATTGTTCCGTCGGCAGAAGGCCGTTGGAAAATACGTGCTCTTTGAGCCTGTTTGATAGGAGCCGCTCGTAGAGCTTCCCAGGCAACTGAGGAGGCTGATTGGACGATACCTAGAGGGCTGATTGGCTGGTTTATTCGGCTTGCAAATGCCGATAACCGTGGCTTGTTTCCAGTCGTCCGGAATGGAGCAACTGGAGAGTAGAGTATTGAAAATGGTCGCCAGTAAACAGATAAGCGGCCCAGGGAGAGCTTTGAGAATTTTGTTACTAATATTATCTGGGCCCGGGGTGGATTTCGGTTTCGAATTTTTAATAATATCTTGGACCTCTTGACCTCACTGAACTTAAAGGTTCACCTTTCGGTGGAAGCGCAGCCCTAGTCTCGATTACGCGGTCCACCTCCGTTAGATGGACTGTATCGGTGTGTTCGCGCGATGGCGTACATTGCTGCTCTAGGTTGTCCACAAGGCATTCGGCTTTTTCGGAGTCATCTAGGGCTACTGAAGCGCTATTAGGTCTAACTAACGGCGGTAGAGATTCGCGGGGGTCTGCTTTTAGACTACGGGCCAACCGCCAGTAGGCGATGGCCCGTGCGATGGCTCGATGTCCTCTAGGAGAGTATCCCACGTGGTCTGTCGGTGTTCCGATACACGATCTTTGACTTCTAGCTGAAGGCGTCGAAGTAGGGTTCGGTTCGATTCCGATCGGTATCGTTCGAAAGCGCGTTTGGCTGCATTTTTCTGTCTAATTAGTAGTCGCAGGTCGGGCGGAAAGTTAAACCGTTGGTCGCTCGACAGTTTCACCGTCCGTTCCGAGTCTGCGACTGCGGAAGTAATCGTTTCTCGGAGACTTGCTATCGCTCGATTTGCGTCATCGAACGTAGCTATCGTCTCGGGTAGGTCGACTAGTCCTTGGGGTCCAAGGCCTTGAGTTTGACCTCAAGACGATGCCAGTCCACTACGGATTTGGTCGGAGGGACCGGACCGGCGTTCTGGCCCAGTTTACACAGGACGGGACTGTGACCTGAATTTAGTTCATGGATTGTTTCTATCGACTCAATGTCGAGCGAGACATCCCTGAATAACATGATGTCTAGGATACTCGGTGACGCGTGTTGGCCACCGTAGGATACCTAGTGGGAGTCGCAGGAGCGACTATGCTAAAGTTTAAGTTATCGGATAAGCTAAAGAGATGCTTTCCGTTGTTGAGCGGATACTGAGCTATCGCGCCTCTGTACGTACTGTACTGGTACTTTAACCCATTATTAAGGGCAATTTATGGACACTTATTACATTACTTGACGGCCACAAGTAGACTGCGTAGAATAAGTATATCTTTTATTGGAAAATGTAAACTTTTCTACAGCAAAATCCCAGAAAACTTTCAAAATGTATCGATAGCTTAATTTAAGAAAAATTGTAAACGAACGTTCGTGTGGCTAATATAATATCAATGTTTATTTAAACGATGACGCTCTGGATATGAATTGACCGCTCCAGTCTCTTTCAATAGGACTTTTTATGTTGTATTATACAACATATTGTTAACATGTTCACATGTCAGTGGCTTTTCTTTTCCTAACCGGTAGTAGTATTTTGACTATCAATAAGACTGAGAGTAATGCTCCGATGTTGAATAAAAGTATTTGAATTTAAATTTGCTGTTTGTTCAGACTCACTGATGCTATCGGCCATTGTGTAGCATGAAATGACGCCGTCATTCACCTTATTTCTGGTCATTGCTTAACTTCTATTACTTAACTGCCATAAAAAAAAGAGAAGACCTATTCGATAAAGGCACGAGGATGATTCTCGGAGTAGTGTATTGTCCTCCTTCTATTGATTATTTCGCCAATCTTCGATGGGCTCAGGCTACACTGCGTAATCATGTGCGATCTAAAGATCTGCAGAAGTTCTCTTAATCTTTCTTTATAGGCACAGAAAAAGTGTGGAAGACGCCACACACATGCCAGCTTTGTCTGAGATGTTTGTCTTTCTGTCCTACTAATTTGAAAGCGTCTTTAAAGTATCCAATGCTCCAACTGAGTGTGCGTTACCATCTATTACCATAAGGCAATTAATAGATGACAGTTTAGTCGTAAGTAATCGTTTAGCATTAATGTTTTATAGGCGGCCGGTTGGGGCCTCACCACGGAGTTCCGTGGCTCAGAATCTCAGGAGCTGAAAATGATAGACCTTCCCTACGTCGACGAGGAGACCTGTCTGGACCAGACCTCGAAAGCCTACTTGCATTACTACGTCTATGACAAGATCTGCGCTGGATCCTTAGAAGGTGAATCAATGTGATCCTTCATTACTGTCAACAAATGCTTTTGTATAGGCGGTTCATCTGATTTTAATTTAATAGCGCCTATCATGGACATCTGCTAGACCCGAGGGTTCCAGATGCGTTAACAACCTTTTTAAAAATTGGGCTACCTCACTCACCAGACGAAACGCGAAAGTATTGTACTTCCACTTTACGCCGCGGTCTTCTGTGAGGTCGTGGTACTTAGCCGGACGTGCGTGCCCATTCGTGTAACAGCCGAGGCTGTTGCGTGGCCATATCACAGTTATAGGTGTTTGTCCACGTGAAATTAATTTTTGTAAAACGTCTCTTTTTATAATTAAGTACCCCAAATTCCTCTGACTAGGAATCGAACCAACTAGCTTAAATTCACATCAGCCACCACGGGCCCTCAGTCTGTTCAATTATGATCTCTAATGGAGGGGTCGGTCGCAGGGGAAGCGTTGTGCAGGGGCGATAGCGGCGGTGGTTTGTCGTTCGCCTCCAACATATCGGGCGTGGAGCGTTACTACCTTCGCGGAATCGCGTCCACCAGCCCGCTGCTGAAGGACCGCGTCTCCTGCAACGTCAACTCCCTCACCAGCTTCACGTCGGTCATCAAGTACGAGGAGTTCATCAAGCACTACCTATACGAATAGGGGGCTGGCGTAATGGGGAAGGTGGAAGGACCCCCTATGTGCTAAAGCTCATTGTGTAGTAATAGAATTCAATAGGAATGGTGTTAAACTGATTTGCGACAAATAAATCTGTTATTATTTTTATTTTTAGTTTTAAAACGTTGTATGGAAGACGATATATCTCGCACTTTTGGGTAAAAAATGTACCCTAAGTAAAATCTTTTTCAAAGTATCCTAATAGTTGCGAATATGCTCTCATTAAACGACTAATATTGTAAAAAGTTTGAATTTTTTTAATATTTAACGGATTTTATTGCATTTAAAATTATATTGCATTAGCTTTGTTTGAGGTCTTTTTGACTAAAAGTATTTTTCTGATTACAACTTGTCTGTGATAAGGAAAGAAAATAAAATTTAAGTATGCGCGTGTTTTTAGTGCTAACGAGACTGGCATGATTCACATTATTTAGAGTTTTAGAGTCTGTTTGTATTGTGCACGGGGGATGTTAACTCTACACGTCGATCATACATACCTTCAAGCAAATGCTTGAAACACCTCTCGCTTGAAGGTATGGCTAGAGTAGAAAACTTATTTGGGACTTATTATTCAGAGACAAAACGATATCGTTGACATGTAGATGTAGATTAAGAACACACCAAAGGGTGAAAAATAAAATGGAATAAAAAACGAGTACTTTGGTATTCTCTATTTGACGGTGGTAGGGCCACGCAACAGCGCCCGCTGTTGCACGAATGGGCAGGTCCGTCCGGGTTAGTACCACGACCGCACAGAAGACCGGCGTAAAGTAGAAGTGTTACACTTCTGCGTTTCGTCTGGTGAGTGAGGTAGCCGGGGCCTACATTATTAAGAGGTGGCAACGCATCTGCGACCCTACGGGTGTTACAAATGTCCATGGACAGGCGGTTATCACTTAACATCAGGTGAACCGCCAACTCGTTTGCCACTTTCTCACATAAAAAAAAATTCTACTGAAATACCAATAAATACAGGACTGGACCACACACAAGCAAGATGAAAAGGAGTTAGGAGTATGGAAATGGACTAAGGAGTTGAAACATATTTGTATCATGACCAGGGAGCAAGGGGCTGGCCTACGCGCGCAGCCTTCCCCCTGATAGCAAACCCCGGGCCGTGCCGTGTTCATAGCCCCGACACGGCACGATTTGGCTGAACCGGGTGTCCAAAGACGAGGAAGCCCGAGAAGCCCACAGCCGCGCCGGGGTTCGCGGAAGATTTCGTTTTCGTGTTCCCGTGTCCCCGGCAAAAGCGACAGCGCAGGTGCAACGTGGATTTTTTAGTGGGTACTCTCGTAACTCCCACATACCCCTGCTGCATACTCACAAGATGGCTGGGGTTAAAGGATTTTTCCCAAGTAAAAAAAAATATATGTATCATTATCACATATCATCACATCACATCATTGAGTTGAAGGTTGTTTGTTTTTTGTCGCAGTTTTAGTGTTTTTAGCGATGGTAAAAGCAATTAGAAAAAAAAAATCGATCAATACAAAAATCGACAATTTTTTCATATCCCTAATTCCTTAGCCCTACTCAAGTGGTACTAACCTCACTCACGGATGCCAACTTAGGAGTTTTCTTCCTAAATTTAGGAAGAAAAAATTTACAATAGAAGTTTTTTTAGGAGGAGAAATTTTTTGGGAATATTTTTATGAATAAAATTTTATTCACATTTTTGGAAAAAAAGGCTACACAATTTTAAACTCAAAATATAATATAACATTATTGGCAGCGTTGTATATTGTATATAGCAGTGACTATATACAATATACCCATAAACTATTATTGTAAATGTACGTCTACTCATAATATATTAAATTCGTTTAATGAGTAATTTAAAATCCAAAGGGTGCGAAAATTGTCATCGGATATGTTAAAAAATATGCAGCTGAGAGCTGCTAAGCTAAGTGCTGAGCTAAGTGAGAAAAAGACTGAACTTAAAGGTATGTTTAATTCAGATCTTTTATAATTGAACTAGCTGTTGCCCGCGACTACGTCCGCGTGGAATAGGATGAAAGCGAAAAATTCAGACAGATACAGACAGATACCTATACATATAATAAAAATGTAACTTGTCTTTGTCTGTACATGGAAGATATTTGAAAAAAAACTATTATTAAACATCCCCCTTTATCAACTCAACAGTACCCAAAACAATGGTTGTTAAAAAAAAGTTTTTTGTCCGTGTGTATGTGCGTTTGTGCGCGTAATCTCGGAAACCGCTTAACCGATTAGGGTGCAACTTTCACTTATGCATTGTAGTACTTCACTTAACATTTAGTGTTAGTTTTATTCATATCGTTTCATAAATAAAAATTTTATATCAACTTAAAAAAAAGTAATCGCTACAGCTGAATTGGATGAAACTATAGTTAACTACAATTATATTATGGTCTGTAAAATGATGATGATTGTTAGATTATATAAATTTAAAAACCAGCCAAATGCGAGTCGCAATCGTGAACGAAGAGTTCCATACCATAATCTATAAAAAAGGCAATAAAATTATGTCCGTTGTGTGAGAGCCCCACTCAAAAAAAATTATTCTGATTTCCATAATTTGTTGTTATAGCGTCAACAGTGAAAATTTCAACTGTCTAAATATCACAGTTTATGAGATACATGTATCAAACACATGCTAGCAGTCTAGCTAGCATCATTTTGTTTGAACTCACTAATCTCAGCTATTACTGGTCCGAGTAGAAAAATTTTTGCACTACTAGATAGCCAATTTATTGAGGACGGCTACTTTTTAAGCACGATATAAAATGTGGTACATACGGGCCGAACCGAAACTATGGGTCACACAAATAATTGTCCAGTGTGAGAATCGAACCCACGCCGAAGGCAATGCCTTGACAACTGCGCAATGGTCAGTGACCTAGCGAGTGGTATTCGCGAATTAACATATAACTGACTCCAATGTGCGAGATAATGAATGGTGTCTATGACAAAATGGGTATCAGCACTAAGTCGTGTTTGGTTTTCATTAGATTGTTGAGATCAAATCGTTCTCATTCATTTAAATTCTATCGAGGCATTTTTGTAATAAATACTAAAAGGTAAATTCAATGAAAATACTACAAAATAAGTATCTTAATTACAAAAAAAATATCAGATACAATTTGTGAGTCAGTGATAAAAAACAAACAATATTTCCAAACGAAAAAGCAAAATAATATCCGAATATCCTTTTTTTTTTGGTACGTGGGGTGAAATGCCTAACGCATACCCACCCTCGCGGGAGCGAGAGTGGGTTATGTCGGACTCGCACCGACTAAATCCCCACGATATTCCACCTAGGCGCATATAGGCAGGGCCACGGGAACGCTTTCGCACACTTCCGCGACCCTGTCAGCGCTGGCCGCCTCAGCAGCCCCCTCTCGGGGAGCAACACCTTATAGGCAGGCCGAGTAGGAAGGCGCGCTGAATATTCCAGCGCGCCTTCCTACTCGGCCCCTTTAATATCCGAATATCCTAACCTAACCAAATCTATATTTCTAAGCAGCGATAGATTTGTCCGTTGGTCGCCCTAGGCTCATTAAAGATTAAGAGAAAAGACTCGTTGGAAGGCACGAAAAATTAAACAAAGAAAGTTCGTACATGATATTATGGAACCGCATACTTATCAGGCCCGCTTGATTTGTTATAATTTTCATGGAATATCGCCTACGCAAAGAAGCGAAAGGCGAAAGGCAAGCAACGCTACTAAAAGACCCCACTAATTTGCAGCCCCCTACATTTGGCCCGCCGAGTACGCGGCCTATAGAGAAATCCTTGTATTAACTGATGTTTTTGCTTTCAGTCCCTAGACTATTAAAGCTTCATCTGACGCAGAACCGGTGGACTAGCCAGAACCCACGGGTTTGGGCCCTCCGCTGTGGGTAGGGCCACGAATTTGCTCATGCGTGCGTTTAACTATGGTGTGTCATCTAAGGGCCATCGAGGTCGCGGTTCGGACCGAAACCCCGATGGCCGACGACTGTGCAATTAGCTAATCGGTGGCTGGGGGCGGTGAGAACCGCCCCGGAACGCGGGTGTACCTTGTGTACGCGTTGTGTTGGTCTCGCCGTGCTCTTAGGCGAGGGCGAACTAGTGTGTTTGTTGTTGCACTAACTGTGGGTGTAGTGTTGTCCGGCGGGACCCCCGGCGGTGGGTCCGGCGTATCTAAGTCCCCTTCCTCGACCGGGTCGATTAGGACGTTTCTCGGGCGACGCTTGTTGACGTAGAGAAATCCACTACTGTTCCTAACAACTAACAAAATCCCAAACCAAAATCAAGAATATCCCTATACCGAGCAAAACTAAAATCATACCTATCGTATAAATCCCAAATGAAGAAATTCGCATTATTATTATTAAAATGCAAATGGTCGGCACTTGTCCCTTAATTAACTTGTGAAAATATGTATACAGCGCATTTTATGAAGAACAACGCCATCTAGTTTTTCATGGGAACTAATTCCTTAACTTTTTACTTAGCTTTTTTTTAGTGAACCAATTGCAATAAAACAAAGCTTTAATGTTGCACAGAATTAATCTTAAATACTTACAAAAACACCATACAAATTAGTCCAGTAGTAGGATAACTGTGATAACTGTTTGCGACTGCACTGCTTTAATCTTAAAACTCCCATATCTCCCGTTTGAGTAAACCGATTGAGATGAAACAAAGCCTAGGTCCTGCCTCAAGCTTTGCTTAAGTAACCAGTGAAAACTGCATCAAAATCCGATAAGTAGTTTTCAAGTTTATCGCTAACAGACAGACAGACAGACAGACAGACAAAAATTTCAAAAATGGTTTTTTTGTTTCCTATAACACTTTTTATGATACCCTTTTTCATTTTTTTCATAAAAATATTCAATGTACAGACACGCCGATTCCACTCTTTTATTATAGTATAGATATAAATGATACTTATTTCCATTATTTACTACCTGTTTCTTAAAAACAATGAAAATGATTTTAACCAACTCCAAAAACGTCACAATAAAATGTATTTAATTTGTATAAATATTTAAGAAGTCAATGAACAATGTTAAAAGTCAAATATATTAATTAAATTAAGTTTCAAATAAAACCCATGTTTTGATTACCCAGATAATTATTTTTGCTTGAAAACAGTGAATTTTAGGAGGTTTTTGAATTTCTTTAGGAGCTTTTTTTTCAACAGTTGGTAACACTGACCTGCGTTTGTTAAATGCGTTTGTGCGATCCAAATATTTTGCGTTTCTTGGATATATCATCTTAGTATGTGTGTTTCGAGATAATTATTGACTCAGTTTTTGAGAAAGTGACTATTTCGATACCTATCTTAAGAAAGTGACTCTGTCATCTGTGACTTGTGAGAAAGTGACTCCTGGTGACTCCTAAAAAGTGACTATGCCGTCGGAAACAAGTGCAGAAAGTCAACGGCGATGTTACAAGTGTGGTCGTACACCGGCTGAGGACTCACTGACTACATTATTTCGCTTTCCTAAACCTGGAAAAACGAATACATTACGGTATGTTTAGTATGAATATGAATACAGTTTTGAAATAATTATGCCGGGACTTCAAGCAAGTGATACTTACCTATGTCAAGTTGTTTGTGTTACAAAAGCGAAGCTATTGAACTACAGCTATGAAGGCTTCCACATCTTCCTTATTCCGCACCCAATTGAAGTTTATAATTACCGGGATGGGTAACTCCCATAACCACTTCACGAATATAATTATTAGACTTGTCTTTTATTATTTCGTTTGAATCCTAGGTTATTTCTGACTAGCCATCCGCCCGGCTTCGCACAGTTGCAATGTTATTATACATATAAACCTTCCTCTTGAATCACTCTCTCTAGTAAAAACAAAGGCATCAAGATCCTTTCCATAGTTTTAAAGATCTAAGCATACATAGGGACAGACAGACAGCGGGATGACTTTGTTTTATACTATGTAGTGATACTATTCAGTTTGTTGATTTTGATATAGTTATAATTACGTTTTAGCTGTGAATTATGGGCAAAATACTGCTTTCCTGATAAAGAATACTGGTCACCAGAATTCCAGCATAAACTACATACACAACATAAAATGCTCTGCAATAGACATTTTCCAAGGACATCATTTAGTGATTATCCTGAAACTTCAAAGAAACTCCACAGATTTGCAGTTCCAGATGAAATCAAAGAGGTAATTAAATTTATTTATTTAGGATATAACACCGGCCTACACTGGCTAAATAATAACAGCCACACAGGTAGATACATCGGGCTAAGCATCAGGCAGGCTGGGTGACCATTTTTCCATACCAAGACTTTTACCAATAGGCATACCTAGTAACTAATTGTGGAAGTCAGACAGGTAGTCACTCCATGAAAAACACTGGTATGGAGCTGCATCTGGTTATGTGGAAGCCGACCCCAAAATAGTTGAGGAAATAAACAATAATATAGCTTATTAGCTTATAGGCTATAATTTATACACGGATACAAGGTTCTCTCAAAAACTCTGTTATGCTTTCACGACTAAACTGCTGAAACAATTTTGATGAATTTTGGTATAAAGATAGATATGACCTTGGAGAAGAAATTACACTAATCAAAGTACGAATCCTGCACAGATGAAGTCACGGGCACCAGCTAGACAAATAAAATCTATTGAAATATCACCAAAAGTTTGTAGTAATATCATGTTAAAATTGTTGGTTCAAAGCTTTATATTTAAGGGATATCCTACTAATATTATAAATGCAAAAGTTCATAAAGATGTTTGAATGCAATGTCATTAAAAAAAACATAAGTTATAGAATATTTAAGGGTGTTTGAGATTGTATGTTATATTTTGCAAATATTTTTGTAGTAGTAGTATTAAGTTTATGATTATTTTTTATACTAAAACAATCATTTATTTAAATTTCAGACTGAGCCTCAACCGGGTCCATTATATCGGGTGCAAGTTTTGAATGAAAAAATCAACTGCCATTATGCACCAAAACCATTACCATCCTTTAAAAAACCAACACTTGAACCATTACCAGGAACTTCACGAGTGTTGCATGCTTCATTTGAAGAAAATGTGCCGAGTGAAATCAACCCTCCTTCTCAGACCACATCAAATGTAAGTTAACCTAAAACTCTAAAAGAAAAATATCTGGTGGCAAAATACTGAAAAACTCAAATATATTTGCCAATAGCGAAATATTATAAATGAAATTAAAATTAAAAGAATTCCATGCACATTGAATAAAAACGAGTCTGTTGATATTTTGATGAAAAAATGCCACATTAAAAAATTAAACTAAACTTAATAAGCAAATTATAAATGAAACTAATTTTACGGATTTATCGCGTTTATTTTTAATTTTAATTCCCGACGTTTCGAACCCTTTACAGCGTTCATGGTCACGGGACAGACTGAGGTGTTAGACGTCTGATTGTCATAGTTAACCCGGGCTACCGTCAGTTTTTGAATTATTAATTTTGTGTCCGATCTATGCAGAGGGAGCTAATTGTATCTTGTCTTGCAGTAGTGGTTCGTTTGGGCCTAGATTTAATTTTATTGATGACAGAATCCCAAGCTGATGGTAGTACCCAACCTTCTTCTCTATTGAAATTAGGGTGTTTTTTAATTTCAATAGCCTCGCGAATCATCCTTGGGAGGAATCGGTGTTCTTTTGCAAGGATCTGTGGTTTGTCAAACCTGATGTAGTGGTTGGGTCTATTCAAAATGTGCTCACAAACTGCAGACTTGTTCAATCTATTGTGTTTGATGTCAGCTATATGTTCTTTCACGCGGGTTTTTATTGCTCTTTTCGTTTGACCTATGTAAGAGAGCCCACATTCACAGTCAAGTTTGTACACTCCTGGATCTTGCAGAGGGATATTACACTTGACAGATGGTAAAAAACTGACTAATCTTCTTCAGCGGCTTGTAGAATGTATTAATTGAAGCCTGCTTTAAGATATAGCCAATCTTGTCGGTGACTCCTCTGACGTATGGTAGAACAGCAGGTACTCGCTCCACTGTGGCTGGTTTCACTCGGTCACTGTGACGTAGGCGCGGTGCTCGAAGCTTGTTGTCATGCAGAACTTGCTTGACATGTTGAAGCTCAGCGGCCAGGTGTTGTTTGTCACAGATCCCTTGTGCTCTCTGAAACAAAGATTTACCCACGGTAGCTAACTGGGATGGATGGTGGTGAGAATCACCGTTTAGGTATCTATTTGTATGGGTTGCCTTCCTATACACAGTGTGACTTACAGTGTTATTTGGATTGCGGATGACCAAAACATCTAAGAAAGCTAAAGAGTTATTATGCTCTAATTCCATAGTGAATTGTATTTTGGAATTTACTGAGTTAAGGTGGTTTAGAAATGCATTAACTTTACTTGTTGGTAAAATGGTGAAGGTGTCATCTACATACCTCTTGTAAAACCTTGGATAAATGGGAGCTGTGCGAAGGGCCTTCTCCTCAAAGTCTTCCATAAATATGTCAGCGACAATGGGAGATACTGGGCAGCCCATTGCTACACCATCTATCTGTATGTAAAATTCCTCCTTCCAAAGCAAGTAGCCGGATGTTAGGCAATGTTTAAGTAGTAATGCATACTCTTCCGGCATGTTATTCTCTTTTAGCTTTCTTGTTACAATTGAGATGCAGTCTTCTAATGGTAGGCATGTAAATAAAGACTGTACATCAAAACTGACCATTGTTTCATTGTCAGCAAGACATAGTTGTTTTATCTCACTAACAAAATGGTAAGAATCCTTTGTGTATGCCCTTGTGTGTCCTCTCAGTGGTGAGAGAATTCGTACTAGATGTTGAGCCAGTCTGTAAGTTGGTGAGTCGATCTGGCTTACAATAGGGCGTAATGGTATGTCTGGTTTGTGTATTTTAGGCAACCCATACAATTTTGGGGGTTTAGCACATGAAGGTGTCATCGATTTCACGTCTAGATTTAATTTTTCGGAGTATTTTTTAATGAGATCGCTAGTTAATTTAAGAGTTTTAGTGGTTGGGTCTGTTTTGACCTTTTTATACGTGCTTACATCCGACAACAGTTCTTGTATTTTCCGTCGGATTATAATTTGAAAATACAAGATACTCCGAAATAATAAACTCCGAAAAATACTCCGAAAAATTAAATCTAGACGTGAAATCGATGACACCTTCATGTGCTAAACCCCCAAAATTGTATGGGTTGCCTAAAATACACAAACCAGACATACCATTACGCCCTATTGTAAGCCAGATCGACTCACCAACTTACAGACTGGCTCAACATCTAGTACGAATTCTCTCACCACTGAGAGGACACACAAGGGCATACACAAAGGATTCTTACCATTTTGTTAGTGAGATAAAACAACTATGTCTTGCTGACAATGAAACAATGGTCAGTTTTGATGTACAGTCTTTATTTACATGCCTACCATTAGAAGACTGCATCTCAATTGTAACAAGAAAGCTAAAAGAGAATAACATGCCGGAAGAGTATGCATTACTACTTAAACATTGCCTAACATCCGGCTACTTGCTTTGGAAGGAGGAATTTTACATACAGATAGATGGTGTAGCAATGGGCTGCCCAGTATCTCCCATTGTCGCTGACATATTTATGGAAGACTTTGAGGAGAAGGCCCTTCGCACAGCTCCCATTTATCCAAGGTTTTACAAGAGGTATGTAGATGACACCTTCACCATTTTACCAACAAGTAAAGTTAATCCATTTCTAAACCACCTTAACTCAGTAAATTCCAAAATACAATTCACTATGGAATTAGAGCATAATAACTCTTTAGCTTTCTTAGATGTTTTGGTCATCCGCAATCCAAATAACACTGTAAGTCACACTGTGTATAGGAAGGCAACCCATACAAATAGATACCTAAACGGTGATTCTCACCACCATCCATCCCAGTTAGCTACCGTGGGTAAATCTTTGTTTCAGAGAGCACAAGGGATCTGTGACAAACAACACCTGGCCGCTGAGCTTCAACATGTCAAGCAAGTTCTGCATGACAACAAGCTTCGAGCACCGCGCCTACGTCACAGTGACCGAGTGAAACCAGCCACAGTGGAGCGAGTACCTGCTGTTCTACCATACGTCAGAGGAGTCACCGACAAGATTGGCTATATCTTAAAGCAGGCTTCAATTAATACATTCTACAAGCCGCTGAAGAAGATTAGTCAGTTTTTACCATCTGTCAAGTGTAATATCCCTCTGCAAGATCCAGGAGTGTACAAACTTGACTGTGAATGTGGGCTCTCTTACATAGGTCAAACGAAAAGAGCAATAAAAACCCGCGTGAAAGAACATATAGCTGACATCAAACACAATAGATTGAACAAGTCTGCAGTTTGTGAGCACATTTTGAATAGACCCAACCACTACATCAGGTTTGACAAACCACAGATCCTTGCAAAAGAACACCGATTCCTCCCAAGGATGATTCGCGAGGCTATTGAAATTAAAAAACACCCTAATTTCAATAGAGAAGAAGGTTGGGTACTACCATCAGCTTGGGATCCTGTCATCAATAAAATTAAATCTAGGCCCAAACGAACCACTACTGCAAGACAAGATACAATTAGCTCCCTCTGCATAGATCGGACACAAAATTAATAATTCAAAAACTGACGGTAGCCCGGGTTAACTATGACAATCAGACGTCTAACACCTCAGTCTGTCCCGTGACCATGAACGCTGTAAAGGGTTCGAAACGTCGGGAATTAAAATTAAAAATAAACGCGATAAATCCGTAAAATTAGTTTCATTTATAATGTGTAATCGCGTAAATACAAGAAATTATTAATAAGCAAAGTAAAGAGATTGTCTGTTAAAGAAAAATTACAGCTCTGATGTTATATATATCACCAACATGCTCTTGAAGATTGTTCTGTCTACCAGCTAAATTTACTTTAAAATTCCTTCTGAGTAATTTCTTTTACAAAAAGAAAAAGATTAAGCAGCCTGTTACTTAATACATATCAAGCGAGTATGTAACAACGGACCGTCTAACAGTCTTGATAAAAGAGGTAATGCTATCATGCCCATGGACTTTTGGAACACCCATAGGGTTGCAGATGCATTGCCACCTTTAAATAAAGTGGGCCACGGCTACCTCACTCACCACCCGAAATGCAGAAGTTGTAATACTTCTACTTTACCATGGTCTTCTGTGAGTGTGGTATTTACCTAACCTACCCTTACGGACCTGCCCATTCGTGCAACATTGAACATTTCTTCCAAACCATCTTCTAAAAATACAAAAAAGTACGAAAAGTTTTTTGCTGCTGTGGGAATCGAACCCACGTCTTCGAGATTCGCGCCCTGGCGCTTTAGCCACTAAACTAAATGGCTGATTGCCACACCAACGAAAATATCAACGTCTTTTATATACTTTTTTTTAGCATTTGAAGGACTGCTTGGTGCATCCATTGTCATATTCCAGCGTGCAAACAATTTAGAATATAATTATACTCGAGTTTCTTCCACGATACTAGTAACTAGAATTTATTTTACACAATGCAGTAACGTAATAAGTGTTACCACTCATCACTTGTTTTGAGAAAAAAGTAGCCAAATATGACAACACTTTTTTTTTGCTCCTGCGCCAACCTCAAATCCTTCATACGCATTTTAGTGCTCAACCACTCCACTTGGATCAAAAGTTCGCATTTTCGACGGGCAACGTGACGCAACATGTTTCAACGTGCCGAAACGGAAAAACGAGGAAAGCGTTGAATTTCTTTCGAAACGCCTGAAGGAACTCGAAAGATATCCAAACGTAGCACGTCCTATACGACGTGGTTCGAAATCATCCTCGGGTTCCACATCGGGTTCCTCGTCGTCTTCACAGAGCGAGCAGAAAATTCCGGATTACCAAAATGGTTAGTATTTAAAAAACTACCCTCATATATTTGTACAAAATATAATAATGCGTGCAGGGGCTATTTCGCCGCATTATAATAATGGCATTTTTAGTACCTATTCGTACGTCTTTTCCTGAATGGACCTGGGTGCATTCAGGAAAGGCCACCCTGCGGTGGTCTATAGGATCATTCCGCTGCATTTACCAAAGATATCATGTACTCAGATCAGTCTGGGACTGTTTCGCCACATGATCTATCTTGCCTTGCGGCATAGTGCTTACATATATACATAGATATTCCCTCGTGATTCCAGACCGTGACGCAGCCGTACCCGCACACGAAGACGTACTGTCCGATGCGCCACTTGCCGTAGCTCCACCCAGCCACGCTAGAGCCACCGACCAGATCGCTGGTCCGTCAAACCTAACACCACCAATTAATTACCCAGCGCCCTTGACTCCTTGTACTGAGGAAACGGGCGAATCAAACGAAAATGGTACCGGTCAATCTGAACTACTAGACATATTGGGCGCTGATCCATCAGTAGCCCAAGAGTTCGGTGACGAAATTAACCAGGAGGTGGCCAGTACATTTGAACATATAGCCACAACAGGTTTAGAAGAGCAAGTAAGGCAAGAGTTAATACAAAAGTTCTTAGTGCCTTCTAACTGCACTAAGATCGCTGCTCCGATGCTTAACGCCGAGATAGAAGTGGCGTCAGGAGGAACCGTTGTGAAAAGAGACAAAGCCATTCAATATAGACAAAAACAGCTTGCAGCAGCCATCACCGGCATTGGTCGTATGCTGACATCCCAATTAAGGAACGAGGAGAAGAGCAACCTTTCGAAGCAACTAATAGAGATTGGATGTATACTTTGCGACATACAGCATAGCGAATCGTCTTCTCGTATGAATTTCGCCCCCTACTAACTAAAGAAGGATTTCAAAGAACAATTATCGAATACCAAGATAGATAATTATCGCTTCAGTGTAGATTTGCCAGAAACTTAGAAAAACAGCTAAAGCTGTTTGTAAATCTGGCACCGACACGAAGGATGTACAGAAACAGAAGCCCCTCAGCCCGCAGCCAACCGAAGGGACACCACCTGCAAATCATCACATCGGCTCAAGTCCACTCGCCACCGCTGGACCTGGTACGTTATGCTGGCCGCCTTGTAAATATCTACGAGCAGCGGTCATTGATTACATAAGACGAAGCTGTTTTGATGGGTAAATGGATACCAATTGACCTTTAAGTCACCAGTTTACCAATCTAGTTATCCCACTACTTTATCAACTGACACTGACTAGAAACGTAACTTCGCTGACGCGATTGACAATCTTTTATCAATAGGCGCAGTCTCAGAATGTGAACCATGTTCAGATCAATTCGTATCTAAAGTTTTCTTGGTACCTAAAGCCAATGGAAGCCATCCGGTTTAATCATGTGCTATTGTATTCATTGTCAATTTTTTTTTTCAGATAAAACGTGAATGACTTTAGGCGGGTCTTAGCATAGCCGCAACGGTTTGCGATGAAGATGGGGTAAATCGACGAGCTTTTCCATCTTGGGTGCCTCTGTTGAAAAACCCTCCATTACTATCGATAATATAGAGATAATCAGTATGTATGACCTGCTTCATCTTCTAAAGTGTTTCAGAAATTTATTTCTGAAACAATATAAAATCCAGTGCACTACGCAAATAACATCAAAAACAAAAGTGGAATAGGTAAGAACTAAGAATGAAATATGTAATAATGGTATATAATGATATAATCTATATATTAATATGTGAAGTAAAAACATAAATTAAATCAATAAAAAAAACATTACATACACTACCATGTATTTGACACACACACGCATATATGCTCTTTTGTTTATTGTTGAAGTCTTTTTTTTTTATTTGAAAAGTTGCCAAGCTATTAGGCGGTTCACCTGATGTTAAGTGGATATCGACGCTGAGGGTTACAGATGCGTCAACCTTTTGAAAATTGGGCTCCCTCACTCATCAGACGAAACGCGAAAGTATTTGTCATACTTCCACTTTACGCCGGTTTTCTGTGTTCTGTGCTACCGCGGTTAAGAAGTCTGTGGTCAAATTGAAAATAGATTAATATTGTTCAAACCTTTAATTTAAATTAATTATGGTCGAATTTCACTAGGGTCACCCAGAATTCATTTAAATTAATTCTAGGCGACCACTAGTTATGTACTAATAAATAATAATGATAAATACATACACATTTAATTTGTGACGCATGTATTACATGAACTTGACCAACGATGACTCCGTGGCGCAGTCCCCAATGTATTGGCTTCGGCGTCGGGGGTCGTGGGTTCGGTTCCCACACGGGGCAACTATTTGTGCGACCCACAGATAGTTGTTTCGCATCTGGGTGTTTGTCCACGTGAAATTTATGTATTTTAAACGTCCTTACAACACAGGATAGTGTTATCCTAAACTAAGGGCAAATTTAAAGAATAAAAGAAAAAAAATGAACTTGTTTATTTTAGATGTAGCAAAATGGAGCCGCATAAAAAGTTTTGCATCACCTAAATCACAATAACAAGCAAAAAAATAATATTAAATCGGCAGCACAAACCTTGAGCCACACAGTTGCTGCTGGGATGATGGCAAAAATTTCAGAGGGTTTTATGTTTTATGTAATAATGGACCTGCGTAAACTCAAATTAAAACACGGTTTAGTCGATGGAACAGCACATATATGTTATAGAGAGGGGTGATAATGAAAGAGGGAGTAATTACTTTTTATAGGAAGTAATTTAAAACTTAAATGAAGACCAACTAACTTCTAAGAAGAAATTCTATAAAAAGTCATTCCCGCTCACAAAAGTTTTTATGAAGTTACAACAGATATTAATTGTGAAACATACACTTCAGCTTCAAAAGTAACCTTTTATTGCAAACTTATGAGAAACCAAATGGGAACGCATTGTTTAAGAAAACAATAAAATTGTACAAACACTTAGCAAAATTAAAATCAGAGCTAACATAAAGATTGGTTCTTCTTCTTTTCTTTTTTGGCGGTTTTCAATGAATGCGCCAATGAACACTTCTGGTTGTTTATTTTTGCCTAACTTTTATAATGAAATGATGAAGAGAATGATTCTATGAATGTTTAATATGTATATTTTTATATATAGAATACCTAAACAAATTTACATAATTATAGCAATTACCTAGAACAAAGAAAATAAGATTGTAATTATTATGCTAAGTTCACAACTTAATGTTACAACTATTAATAAAATTACATAACATATAAACAAATGAAGAATTTACATATGTTAAAAGGTTATTGATGTTAGATGGACGAGGGATGTTAGAAGGAAGATGATCATGGAAGGAACCTGGAATTCTGGGACAGTTGAAAAATATATGATAAGGTGAATCATCATCTAGGCCACATTCATAGATGGAACTATCTTTTATTCTTAATTTGGCAAGATGAACATTAGTGCAGACATGACCTAGTCCAAGTCTGCAGACAATAGAGGTGGCATGCTTATAAGCTTTAGGAAAATTAAAGAACCATGGTTTGGTTGGAATATCAGGTTGGATTGTTGCATAGTGTATCCCTCTCTCTCTACTAGATTTCTTCCAGAGCTCATACCAGTTTGATCTGACTTTAGCATATGATAATAAATCATGAGAGAAACAAGTATATTGGGATAGGGAGCCAGTTTTAATTGCTTCCTTGGCACAATGGTCAGCAATTTCATTTCCTTGTATATCACTGTGCCCAGGAATCCAAGCTAGAGAAATCAATATTCCTTTCATATGACACCTGTAAAGAGCTCTATGTTGGTGAACCATCATTCAACACACAAAGATTGCAATTGTCTAATATGTCTAAGAATGAAGAAGATAAATAATCACAAAAGTGGGAACCCCATGATGTATGGTGAATAATAAAATCTCCAAGAATAACAAGCGGAGGAGAAAGAGAAAAAATAATAGAGTAAAGTTCAGTGAGTATTGACAAACTTGGAACAGGAATGTATAAAGATATAATAGTAGCATTGAACGCTCTAATTTCAACAATATTAATAGATTCGTTATGAGGTGGAAGAAGAATTTGACTAAATATAAATTTTCTATAATGACAGATGAAGTTAGTCTGCAAAAGATCTCCTTACTTTAGGAAATCTAGCCAAAGCTTCTAAATAAGAGATATTATCTTGCGACATAACCATTTTTATCGATTTCTGCCTAAGATGTTCAGGACAAGAAGTATTTTTAGCGGAATTAGGACCAAGAAAAAAGGCATGAAAGGTTTTCTTTGGAGCATGTAACACCTTCGTGATTTTGCGCACATTTGAAGCATCGGGGGTTGGATCTACATTGTGACGTGACATGGCCAAATCTACAGCACTTGTAGCATTGCATAGATGGTAAAATATATGTTTCAACAGGAATAGAATTATAGAAGCAATATACACGTGAGGGCAGTTTTTGTCCTCTAAATGTAAGAACCACAGTTTGTGAGGGGACCCAAGAATTTTTATTATCTATAGTAATCCTTCTATTTAATCTACGAGCCTTAATAACAGTGCCAAAATCAGAGGGAACCTCTAAGGCATTCACTAGATCTTCCATACTCCAATCCACTGGAATCTCTCTTATAATACCCATCCGAGTTATATTGTATGAAGGGATTATAGTTTCATAGTTAGCTAGGGAGAGAGATGGATGTTCACAGAAAGTGTTAGCATCTCTGGCTGATTTGAATTGAACAGAAATCCTGTTATTTCCATCATTATTTTCATAATCCATTATTAAGAATGTTTTGAATTTTGTTACGAAATAGAAATTGGCCAAAGTGTATGGGTTTCAATGAGGTGCCAGCAGAATGGTCACTAACAGTTTTATTGATGAGAACAATGAAAGAATCAGTGTCCTCATTAGAGTATTTAGTCTTTGTTGAAACGAAATCGGGATGAACATAAGACAATCCGATAGATGAAGTGGATTGGGATGGGTCAGTAATGATCTTTTTAGAGGACTGTACATAAGACGAATCCTCCTGGGTACGTTTTCTTGACAATGATATTGATTTTGTTGAAGGATCCGATGTATCCGAAGAAACAATATTGTTGCCACCTCCAGGGTCAGGCGGTTCAGTATCCATTATATAGATATTAGAACAAATTAAATGTTTGAAATACTTACAATTGGTAATGCAGAATTCCAGCTACACTAAAATTATGGAAAAATGAGATGTCAAATTGGCGTTACAAATTTTAATTATTTTCGTAAAATTTATACTCGTATGTTATTAATAATAAAAATTTACTTAATTTTTTAGCACTAATACACCATAAAAATTAAGATGTAATACAATGAAAATAATTAAATTAAAATGAGAGCGAATGAGGTGCAAGAAGACGTCCAAGGGAATTCCGTTATCAAATTGTCCATAACAATGCTGCTTCACGTTTCAAGCTTGTGATCATATTCTAATCAAATCTATTTTTTACATTTCAATTTAGCCAAGCGTTTGGCTACACCAACATCTGTTCCTATTGTACAGATGTTAGTGTGGAACATGGAAAAAGATGTTGATATCCGTAAGTAATTTAAATTAAATATTGAGACAATAAAGGAAATCTCGTACAATAACGACATTAATTACTAAACTACATTAAAAAGAAAAAAATACATTTTAGAACATAAATAAAAATTATAAAATTAAAATAATAGTCTTTTTATTTTTCTTTCTGGTCGTGCAATAGAAATTAAGTTATGTCAAATGCATATATTTGTGGATAATATCATTCAATATTCTATTGGTTGCTAACGTTAATTTGAAATATTTATGGTTTTTATATTGTAAAAATAGATAGTAAATTTCATTTTTGATCATAGATGAGCGCTTTATAATTGCTGTTTTGAATACCCAGTAATTTTATTGAATAAATGTTTTAAATTTTTCGTCCTGTTCACGTCCGTCGCACTGCTGTTGTGGGGTGCCACTAGATGGCGCGCAATAAAACTACTTTTTGTATATGAAGTCTATTCTTCTCCCTATATTATAAATTATTTTCTGTGATTGTGCAATTCAAACATTTATGGAGAACCAAGCTTTAGCTGAATAAGTAAATATACAGCGTGTCGTTACCATCGCGACAATAAATGAACACACGTCTAACGCTACTTGCCAATAATCATAAAAAAATATTAACCTTAAACAAAATCCATAATAAAAAAAAAAAAACATTTTTCAAACAAATTAATTAAGTAAAAAAGAAACAAAATTTGTAACATCCTATACAACTCGCGCCACAGCGTCGCATTACAAGCCTCTCCTTCTCAGTATGTTTTGTCTCTTTTAAATTTATTCAACCCATTCATATGCTTTGTGACCTTTAGAAATGAACTTTACGTTACAGTTTTATACGTAAGGCTGTTCTAAGATTCTTTGTTTTGGAAAATTTGATAACTCGGTAAATATTGATGTTTAAAGAATGTAAAATTTTAATACAATTTTAAAAAGTTATCCTCTATATGTGTATTCATTTATTGTCGCCATTGCAAAGACACTTACTTTGACAAACGTTAATAAAATATTTCTCGTACACCAATTATTTCGAGTTTACCACATCATCTGTGAAAATTTAAACTGTCCTATTATGACGGTTCATGATACGCCTGGCGACAGACAGATGGCGGAGTCTTTGTAATAGGGTCCTGTTTTACCTTTTGGGTACGGAACCCCAAAAAAGTAACTTATTTATTAGCAACAAAAAACTTTACAATATTGTCAAATGATACCAACACTATCGAAAAAACTATAATACTGCTAGCTGCATTTCTTCGCTGAGCGATACTCCATTTTTGAACCAGAAAAGAACCTCTTATCATCAGCCCCAAAAAGCAAGAATCAAGGTAGAAGCGTTTCGAACTAGCTTTTTTGCTCTCGAGTCTGAGTGCCTCAATTTCGGTGCGCTGATGTTATATCTACCTCATATTTGTATACAGGGTGGCTTATCTAAGTGTATTCATTTTTTTTATTAAATTCTAGACATAAATAATGTTATATTAAAAAAAATTATAAATATTTAAAATCACCTGTAAGTAATTAATTACATTCATTTGAACTTATCTCAAAAAGTAGGTGATTTATACGCAACTCATTTATTTTACGCGCGATCATTCATAAGTAACAAGCATACAAGTTCGTGCGCAGTAAAATTTAGGTATTTATGAATGGCTACCGCATTGTTAACACGTTCTGTTTTTTAGGGAATGGAATGGCATTTTTTTTTGGAAAAAAAAACTTTGTTTTTTATTTCAATAAACGATATACTACAGTGTCTGAACCTAAATTTGGGCACTTCTCAAAAAATCTCCCTGTATAATATCATTGATTACACTGCATAAAGCCTGATACATAGCTTGATACGAGTGAAAGACGTCAATAAAATTACGTCCATCATGTGAAAATCTCGTACTTGATTCGACACGAGGAATAGTGATGTTACTTCCCAGGAAGGAGCCCATTCGTGAAACAGCGAAGACCACGCAGTTAAAAACATATTTGCGGTAATACGCGATAGTATTAAATAAATAAAAAAAAATATACTAAGAACAACTTTATTCATCACATTTCCCGCTCACGTCATTTGTGTTATTAAAACATTAAAACCTCACGCATTTGGTGCCCCTCCCCCCGCCCCTCCTTTTCATTTCGTAATACGTGACTCCCTTCTCCCTCCATAGGATACATTTTGCCGTCTCTACTGCGCCGGTCCCCTATCCGTACAGGTAGCGTTTGATGAACTCCTCGTACTTGATGACCGACGTGAAGCTGGTGAGAGAGTTGACGTTGTAAGACGCGGTCATTCAGCAGCGGGCTGGTGGACGCGATTCCGCGGAGGTAGTAACGCTCCACGCCCGATATGTTGGAGGCGAACGACAAACCACCGCCGCTATTGCCCCTGCACAGCGCCTCCCCTGCAACCGAACCCTCCATTTAGTAACATATTATTCTTTATTACTTCTCGCACTTTGTCGCACCTCCTCATTTTCTCTGTTTATTTTTCAAATGTTTTCGGACACATTTTTACAACGTTCTTTAGTCCCAAAGTAAGCAACGCTTGTAGTATGGGTACTAGATAACTGATAAACATACTTAAACATACTTTTCTTCTTTAAATAAATACATATTATACATTTGTAAACACTCAGACACAATAAAAACACTAGCGTTCATCACACAATATTTTTCCAGGAGTGGGGATCGAACCCACACTCTCTGGCGCAGGGGGCAGGTACACTACCCACTACGCCTTTCGGGTCGTCAGTCATTTATTCGTTCCGTTGTTTCAAAAATGGAACATTTTTTTCTTAATTTGTGGTAGTAGATCGAAATGGTGTTGGTAAAATGCCTTCTTTCGAAGCCTAATAAAAACATTAATCGAATTTAACGAGAATTAATCTCTATTACGTCAGTCGTTTAATTAAATTGGCACTTAATTAAATTCAAATATCTTTATTCAATATAGAAGCATTACACCTGTTCGAAAAAGAAAAGCCACTGGATCCGAGAAGAACCGGCGAAAGAAACTCGACGGGAGATTTTGTTTTTACCATTGTGTCTATTTTTATGACAGAAACGTATTGCTAAAATAACGATGGCTCCGTGGCGCAGTTGTCAAAGGTATTAGCTTCCGCGTCGGGGTCTTGGGTTCGATTCCCACACGGGACAACTAGTTGGCTAGTGTGGCCCGCAGATAGTTGTTTCGCATCTGGGTGTTTGTCCGCGTAGATTTTATGTTTGTAAAACGTCCTTACAACACGTGATAATGTTATCCTAAAGTAAGTGCAATGTTTTAAATAGAAAAAAAACCCTATAGATAAATAAATAACATCGCTAAAGTACACAGATTAATGGCCCATTTACACGATGCCAGTTTCTTGCCTGTTGTATACAATTAAATTGAAGCAATAAATGACTTGCATGGTCTAAACAACAAATGGTCTAAACAATTATTGCGCGCAACTTATTGCATTCAATTATTGCTCTTGTATGTACAAGAAAATGGCATCGTGTAAATGGGCCCTAAGAGTCACAGCTCACCTTCTAAGGAGCCAGCGCAAAACTTGTTAGTGTTATTGTGCAAGTCGGCTCTCGAGTTCCGGTCCAGACAAGTCTGCCCGTCCACAAAGGGCAGATCAATCAGTTTCAGCTCCACCAGTTCTAAGTCACGTATCTCAGTGGTGGCCCAAACGGCAATCTGTGAAATATTAACGCTAATTGATCCACTACTTAAAAACTAAAACTAATTAAAAACCTAAAAAAATGGCCGTTTTTCATCACTAAGTATTCAGAGCATTTAAGTATTCTGATGACTCCGTGGCGCAGTTGCCAAGGTATTGGCTTCGGCGTCGCTGGTCGTGGGTTCGATCCCCACACGGGACAACTATTTGTGTGACCCACAGATAGTTGTTTCGCATCTGGGTGTTTGTCCGCATGTAATTTATGTTTGTAAAACGTCCTTACAACACAGGATAATGTTATCCTAAAGTAAGGGCAATGTTTTAAGAAAAAAGAAAAAAAGAGCTTTACTAGCATCTTCAATGACGAAAAAAGATGGTAAGCAATGTTTAGATCAAAATGGAATATAACCTATTTCATACAAGGAAATACACAAGAGGAAAATACATTAAACATAGTGTACATATCGGCGGCCCTTATTGCTAAGGTAGTAATTTCTTACAGGCAATCTTACGCCCGGTTTCTGAAACACTGATCATCGTAGAAATTAACTAATCAGCTGTCAAATGGATTTTCAAATGTCATTTGTATTGCCAAAAGGATGGTTAAACTCTTTTAACTGGTCATTCTGATCATTAAGAAGATCATTCTGATCAATTCAGAGAGTTTACCTCTCACCTTTCCATAGCTTCCTCCCTTCAGTTGCTCCGCACCAAAGACCGCCCTAAAGTCGAGGCACGCCGGCATTGCATTCGGCTTGTATTGGAACGGCTGTGATGCAATTACCACCGCTATGTCGTGGCGATAGTACAGTTCGCGACCCCGATAGGTCTTTGGAACCACGATCTTGCTGACCTGAGACCCAGGGATATAAATAACCGATTAACGCAGCCGATTTTGCCGTAGCACAGATGGCCCGGGATAAACGGACTAATGCCACGCTTCCGCAATGCCATTTGTCTGACGTTGAGCCCAATCATAGGCCAATCCTATCAAAAGGTAAATATCAAATACAATAAATGTATGGAGCAGGTGTGGTTATCGGGCTAGTAACCAGTTCGTTTGTTTGCCATTGTCTTTGCTTTAATAATTAACTAGAAACAATTCGTACAGTTCTTTCATATAAAAGAAAAAGAAAACGCTCGGAGGCTTGTAAGTATGAACTGGAACGTAGATGTGTATCAAAAAATACCCTCTCAGCTGTGGTATCATATGATACCACCAAAAATCCTTGCGGTGGTGGATTCGATCCGTTGCGTTGGTTGCCCTAGGAGTTTGAAACATTGCCGCCCCCCTACTCGCTGTGAATGCGAGCCTGGTACTAACCAAACTTGCTACCAATAGACTTGTCAATGTCTTTTGAAAATGGTACTACCATTTTCCACCTCGCCAGAATATTGCCTACGCGAATAGAGCTGAGCCTAGAGAGAGTGGTGAAAGGGGCGACTAGTAAAAAAAACATGCGGGGACAGTTTTTGGGGATTTTCGATAGAAGTGAAAACTAAGTGAGTTAATATACTTATAAATAAAATAATCATTATTTTTCATAATTATTTTAAAGTAAAAATAATCTTTCTTATTATCATATAATTATATAAAATTTTTGTGTCATGTTTGTTAATCCGCAATGAACTCTTAAACTACTGAACTGATTAATAAAATTTTGAACACTGTGTGTAGTTTGATCCAACTTGAGAAATACGATAGTTTATATTTCAATTTATAGTCGCAATATTTTTATTGCAGTGTTTTTTTATTGTAATATGACAAAGAGTGGTAATTATCCGTGAGTTCCATAAGATTGTAACAGATGGCGGTGTAAGGTAAATTCATCGACTGGATTGACTACGTATCCAATAGATGGCGCAGACGAAGTTGCGCGGGCCAGTTAGTTACACATATAAACAATATACACATACAATTAGCCCATGGAAAGCGTTCGGTGACGAACACGCGAGTTCCATTCTTTTTGTTCACCCCAAAAGCGTTCAACGCCCCTTGATCAATTTAAACGTAAAATCAAAAGTCAACTTATGGTTAAAGCATATTACACTATTGCGGAATATCTCGACGACGCCAATGTGTGGAGTTAATACTGTTGACTATTGAAGAATTAGACTATTATACCGGTATTTTATATTGTAAACTGATATTTTTGAAAAAGAGCAAATGTTGAGTTTCTTGCCGGTCTCTTCTCGACAGAAACTGCTTTCCGAACCTGTGGTACCTTACGGACCTATATGTATAATTTTTTATGTAAAATTTGACGATTCATAAGAACGCGCAAACATCTATTTGAATAAAGATTTTTGATTGATTGATTGATTGATAGAAGTCGCTTCAAAAGAGCCCACCAAGTTTTGTCACGCCTAAATTTGCCGCCCTAAGCCCGGACTTACTCTGCCCTATATGGATCCGCCACTGATTTCATGTACGAAGCCGTGATAGCTCACGGTCCGGGCGCTCGCTTTTAATTCCAAGCAACCCGAGTTCGATCCCCGGTGCCGGCACACATGAAATTGTTTATTTAAAGTGCCGAATTATCGTGCTCAGCGGTGAAGGAAAACATCGTGATGACACCTGCACATTTTCGAAATAATAAGAAAAATAAAATATTTCGAAGACATGCGAAGTCCGCCAATCCGCAGTGAGGGCGGGTGGTGGACTATGCCCTGATACTCTCTGTACAGAGGAGGCCTTTGCCCAGCAGTAGAACATTTATAGGCTGCTTTCTTGGCAGACGTTCAGAGTTAACAAGAAGTCTGGTTCCTCACGTTCGACTTTTGCTCGTAGCGCTCGTCCTTCGGATGGTGCCAGGCCTTGTAGAGTTTACCAGAAGCCAGCGCGAATTCGGCCTCGTCCACCAGCCGCATATTCTGTTCGTCCCAGAAGCAGTGGGCGGCTGCACGTCGATTTATGCAAAACGCGCGATTAAACATTTAAAAATAAAACAAACCGGCCAAGTGCGAGTCGGACTCGCGCATGAAGTGTTCTGTACCGTTAACTATAAAAACGGCAAATAAATCTCTTCTGTTGCATGGGAACACCACTTAATTTGATTATATTCTGTTTTTTAGTATTTTTTGTTATAGCTGCAACAGAAACTCATCATCTGTGAATATTTCAATTGTTTAACTATCACGGTTCACGAGACACAGCCTGGTGATAGATAGGCAGACAGACAGCGGAGTCTTACTAATAGGATCCCCTTTTACCCTTTGGGTACGGAACCCTAAAAACATTAATAATTTTTATACTTCATACTTTATGTTATAGTCTGAGGATAAGACGTACGTTCAGCAGTGGACTCGAATAGGTTCAAATTGATAATATTTTATACAATTTAATAACATTGTTTTAAATCATGACAAAAGTTGTGATATATTATATACCCATGGTTTCTGGCTAGCCCACCGGTTCTGCGTCAATTGAATCTTTAATTGAAGCTTTTAGCGATAAAATATTATTATTATTATTTATTTTTATTTATTTATTTATTGCACATCCATTAAGTAACAAAAAGGTGTTAGGCTAATTAGTAAAATAGTTCTTTATCGACCCTGTTTATAGGGCATAGTACAAAACAAATCATAAATTCGGAGAGAGCAAGATGTATCACTTAGGTAATTTAATGGGGTACTTGTATATGTAGTTGGTATTTTGAGAGGCTATTTATTTTTATAGGTAACATTTATTAGTTTTAATTTATATATTAATTATGAGTAATTTGTTTAAT